CAAACCCTGCTAAATGAATACTATATTCCATCTTGACATCGTTGCAAATCCTTGGATAAACCTTTGAACCTGTGTTTGTGTTCTTGTGCTCATGCGTTTCATGGCTCAGTCTATGACTTGTCCCACAGTATACATAGAGGTTTGTATGTTCAAGTTTCACTAGCCCTCTCTATTGACTGACTACAATGAGAACACTGGTTTAAATTCATCCAATTTCAAAAGACGCTTCAAACACCACTTTCGTTTCCAGTTCATAATTCCATTATCATACCGTCATTTTTCCCTTACTTCATCCTGCATAACTTTGGTCACATTTTCCGGGCCTGTTTGTTAAATTTCGCAGAGAATATAGTCTCAGATACTTCCACGCCCACCTGATAACAAGAGTAATGGGCATCGTAAAGTTGGTTTTCTCACGAACAAGTCTTTGTTACTTTGATAGCTATCTTGATGTTTTTTAAGATAATATAGTTATCTTAGTGGAAAATAAGAGCAAGAATCAAGCAAACTGAACTTTGTCGCTTAGAAAGTCAACCAATGGTGATGAAGGTTCGATAACGAAGGTGCTTCATCTAGGTTGAGCTGAACAGCATGTTGGGTAACTTATGGGCATTTCTGACAGTAAACCCCCCTGAAACATAATTGTCGAAGTTATGAGACAGCTAACTGAGCCTTAGAAACTGGTTGTGAAATCCTTCTTCATAGTAGTCCTTGAGCTACAGTAATTATCACTTAGTCGGTCCATCCGGTACCATTGGGTAGGGGTTAGTCAAGGTGGTGATGGTGAACGCCTTCTAAAACAGGTGGCTTTCAGTTAAGTGGTAAAATATGTATACGATCTTCTGCCATACGCAGCAGACCGGACCCCAATCTATTCAGATTCAAGCATTATCTTGACTCCCATGCATTTCATATCTTTGTCTGCAGAGAATTTTGGGCTTTTTTTAAACTGAAAATAGTCCTTATCCGTAGACTAAGAATAGTGAATGGAGGAAAGTAGCCGTTCAAATATTATCGGTGAGTCTGAGCATGACAACACATGCGAATAAATTATATTGCCACATTTGCTCACAATTATGTAAGATCGCGCGACTTCGTTGATTTTTAGGTTTACAGTACCGGTTACATGGAATAACTGACCACTTCGGCCTCAGTATCCCCAACAAAGGATTGCTAGGATCAAACGTCAGGCGGACATAGCTTTCTTCTTGCTTTCTCACTAAGTAAACGACCGCGTTGAGAGAGACCTCTGTTTGTTCCAAAGTGTAGATTCTATCGTACCGTAGGTTCTATCGATTAAAACCAACTCCATTAGCATAGTTCCTGGAGGCTGTCTTAGAAAATGCCCGATTCATCGTACTACCGTAGATAATTATTTGGACTATCGTTTAGTTGTGTTTTCACTTGTATTACCTCAAGTCGTGCACTGTGTCAGACATCCGCGGAAGAGTGGTTCGGTCGAGACTGCCCAATGGAGTTTTTTCAATATTTGACACGAGAAATTTTATAGCATATTGTTCTTTTTAGAAATCTCCAAATTTTTTCATGTGTAAGCTATTCTGACACATTCTGCGGTCCAATTAAATGTTTGAAAGGATTCCGTTCCATTCGAAAAAAGGCATCAAACAAAAATGTACTGACTAGGGAAAATAGGTACTTTGTAATGATTCTGATTTTAAAGATGGGATAACATCTTCGGTGTGAAAACATTTACCTTGTTTAAGAGCGAGTATATATATGACGAGAAGTTAGACTGTGAAAAAATCGATTTCTCTACTGGGAATTTGTAGGAAACTTCTTACAGTGCTCCGATTACAACAGTGCCGTCGTTCAGATAATTGTCACCTGGCTCATTCCATGGGCAGTAAAAGAGTACGACGGGACCGTGAGCACAAGGGGATAGCTAACGATGCTTTCTGCTAAAAGATTTCAAGGCCTTTCAGTGTGGAACCTATGGCTTCTCATATGCTTAATTTTGCTTTGGTTTTTCACAAAAAAGATTGAAATAAACAAGGACCATGCAGAAAGGTCCAGCACCGTGAAGTTCAGTTTAAAACTAAGTTCTGAGATGGAAATAAATTAATTTGCACTCTCCTCGGTCCTCCTATCAGTATGAATGTTTCGGCTTACGTCCGTGAATTTTGAGTAGAAGTAAATAAAATTCAGATCTCTGAGTGCTCAATCAGGTTACAGACTTCATACAGGGGAGACAGCTACTGACGTGATACTCCCTGGAACAAAACTGAGCCATTTTTCTAAAAAAAAAGACCGTATGAATTTGTATTTCTTAGTAGCAGAGCAAAGTCAGTTGTTACCTCCGAGTGAAATTTAAAAAAAGTTCGCTTCTAACTTACTTTAAAATGGCGAGAAAAAACTGTACTTTTTTATTTACTAGTCTGAAGTGGAACGGAACTGTTATGCATACATCAATTCCCGACTTAAATGCTCGAAAGAAAAGCTCTACTCAGTTTCATTGAAACAATGAAGATAATGGACTGCATGTGAAACTATAGCAGGTATGGAAAATTTCCGGTGGGAATATGTACACCAAAACACAGATGGCGTAGGAAACTAACAGCGACAAACCGGATCTCGAAAAAAGGAACCTAAGACGTAGGGTTCTTCTCTTAGCTCACATGAACAGCTGGTTTTCTTAGTTCCACAGATGTGAAATAGCAGGAGAGGGCGAACGCTCTTGTGAGCAGCCACTCAGCGAGAATTCTACTCAGAACAGATTTATCATCACAAGCTCGCAATACGGTTGGCATCCTTTATCAACCAGCTCTTAAAGGCGTGACCTGTTCTTCTGGTTGCTTGAAAAGCGACATCAAATGTTGAACCATGTAAAGCTTCTTTGTATCAGGCGGTGGGTGTTAGCGTAAGCCATCGAGCCCAATGGCTCCCAATCTGTTTGTCGTTAGCCTTAGGGGGGAAGAGTTTAATTCCTGAACTACTTTCCGGAGTATCTTCTTGCGAAGTACACAATGCATTCTCGTATCAGCGGACCAACCATTCTATATGTGGTTTGTTTTCTCGAAGTACCATTATGCCCACCAACATCACTGTTCCACATTTGTCTTCAGCCTGCGTTTGTGTATTTGCGTGAGGTGAAATTTTCAGGTGTCAGTAACTTCCTGAACAAAAGTGTGACAGGAAATCATTTAACCCGAGATTTCGAAACTGATATCCAAAATGCATGTAGAATTATAAGAGTAAAACGCAATTATTTGCAAAACGAGTACGCCTTACCATTGCTCGTTGCCACAATCAACTGGGTGATTCGATTTGACGAAATTTGTGGGTTTTGCTGCATTCTTCTATCAAGTTCATCCGTGAGAAAACAGCTCTAAATTATTCGCCAGCCAAAATGGCATTTGTATGCTCAGGTCACACTGCGGTCTTAATTGCTGTCACCGAAATATGCTGATTTGGTCAGTTGGTGGAAACAGTAGTCTTTGTTGGATCGTATCTACTCTAACTCGTTAATCCCGTTCGGTAAAGACAGGACATCACGACCTTCCTGTTAGTAAGTAGTGCACTTGCTGCATAGCAGTTAAGTATCGGTGTCAAGACGGGTGTCGCTGATTCAAAGTGGAGAGATTGCGAGACAAGGTTACTCAACCGAGAACTATTCAGTTTTTTTTCGTTTGTCGGGAAGGCACTGCACTCCCGGCACACACAAGTTATGGGATTCTCTTGGGGTTCCGTGGTCAATCCAACGTCAGTTTGCGGTGCTGGACTACTTTTGATGTGCTTCGTATGTGGAGCCCCAGTGGTGGGCCGTATCAGAATGCACCTTAGAGGAACGAATCCGAACCAGCCGTTGTGCAGTCGTCGGGCATATCCGTGGACTTTGTCAGTCATTGTGCGTCCCTCTTCTCTTACCTAAAGCCGATGGCACCAGTTTGGTTCGTTTGCTTCTTCATTCATGTGGCTGCTACGTACAACATTGATAAGTACTCAGATGGTTGGGAAGGCCAATCATTGATTTTTTGCCTCTGCTATCCGGACCTCATTAAACGGTTAAGTCCGGCTACTGGGAATTACCAGAGGACAAAAAGCTAAAGACGTGAGGGTCTCAACCACTCCGCCACTGGAAATGAGGATCATGATAACCATTTCACAAGATGGTATTGTCAGGAGGTTTCCAGACTCACGCGGCTAACTACGAATTTTTTGAGGAGTTATCATGACCATTACCAGTCATCAGCACTTGCAGTTCCAGACGCTATTTGGCTGCCCCACAACCTTGAGTTGGGCCGAAGAAAAGTCGTTCCCTCATTGCTGTAGCTGGTACTCACATTGTCATCATGTGACAACTCGCAGCATGAAACGATTTGCCTGTTGAGAACTTTCCAGTAAAGTGAATCCTTCAGATTAACTGTTCTTTCTTCCCCTCAACAAGTAGGGCGAATAAAGTCATATATCCGTGTGGATAGGTGATTCTGCTCAAACTGAACAATGTGGTTTGTACTCTCTTACCAGGCTTTTCTATCTTCCCTTTACGACGAATGAGATATATCCTTGCGTGCTCGAACTTGAAGTTCAGTTCTGACCCATTGGAGAAGGTGGAGGACTGAACCTGTTATCTACGGTTTCTTAGAACAATGTGTGAAGACCATGATCACATGATGTCACTTAGTACGGGCGCCTCATTCTACATTATCTTTGTTTTCCATCTTATAGAAGTTCAAAAAAGGCGATCCATTAGGCTTATTCTAATGGTCGTGGTAAAAGTGAAGTGTTTTATACTTTACGTTAGACGGCATCTAGTCGACAAATGATATAATCATCAGTTGGTGCAGAAAAAAGGAAGACCCTGTCCGTTCCCGTCGGCCTATCAAATTGGCGATGTCAAGGAAATTAGGTATTTGTGACTGTAACGTCTATATAAGCGAATCAGAACGAACGTTCTTCAAAGAGGTTGTTACGATGCGTGTACGGCTAACATTGTGATGTTGCAACGTTCCATCAACCATTTAATCATTTGCAGCTTGAAAATGAATCTCTACTACGTCATTCTGTTTTTGGTGTCACCTGAGCTCCGCTCATGTACAGAAGTCCTTAAAGTCGGTAAGTATCGTAGTTGCCCGTAATGTTAAACAATTGTGTATTTTATGCTTATCGGATATGTGAGGATTCAACCAAATTTGTGGAAAACTAAATTTAGGAAAACTAAATTGGTCTGAATTCGTTCATGACCTCCCGGCGAAGTATGATAGCATTTGATAGGACAAACCTCAGTTTTAGAAATAGTCCGACTTCTCCGCTTCAGAGTTTATTCTCATCAACATGGCAGGCTTTGTTTGCAATAAGAACAACTTATTTGTTGTGAGGTCAACTTCGTGACCAAGTCATGCTCCGGTTTGTAAATCTTAGACTTAACGACTATCCTACAAAACTGTCAGTCCCACCGGTCCTTGTGGATCAGCCGCTTCGATGAAAGCGGCTTTGAGCATATCCGCAAACTAAGGTATGTTTCGGGAATCATCTGGCAGGCATGGTTGTACAAGTAAATTGTAGGTATTATATAGAGGAAAATGTTGGTGGCTCAGGTAGCGTAGATGGTTGTTGGTTTGTTTGCTGAGATGGTTAATTTGATTGCAAACTTTTCATCGCCAATCGAAGTGATATCACCAGTGCGTTGTTGGAGGGAGTAGCGTGCGTAGCGATGAGTTGATGGTTGTAATAGCCTACAATGAGAAGGCTAAAGAGTAAACATTTGTGGCGCTTAGAAAACCAGCAGCATTGGTGTGTGTCCAAATGTTAGGTAATTTTCTCAGCAATATACCACACATTTGCGCAATCTGAAAAAATTTGCCTTCTAAAAGTTTCAGAATCACTTATTATATCTCGCTGCATATCCAAATTGAGATTTCACATATCGAGTTTGCTTCATATGAAAAATTTTGGAACCACTCTTGTTTTTAAACAGACATCAAATTCTTATTACGATCCAGAGCGATCTCCAGTCAGTGAATATCAGGTGCGGATAAATTAAACAAGATGGAAAATATCAAAACTCCATATGTAACGGTTGCATTTTGAAATATCTACTTTGCTGCGAGTAAAAACAAAAATTTATTGGTTTTCGCTGTAATAAGGTTGGAAAATAGAAACCATCATATTTTGAAGTCTGTTCTTACTTTTAATTTGCCGAGACCATCTATGAAGTTCAACTCCTGACAAAGATTATTTTTGCAGTAAAATGCAGTAAAATCTAGAACGAAGTGGGTATACATTGGCACTCCGAAACATCTATCACGACAGCACCATGAAAGAGGACCGTTTTGAATGTATTTCTGTCAATTTTAATACGCGTAGGAACGCATTTTTTTCAGAGCAGAAGACGAATTGTCTTTGCAAGTTCTCTTAAATATGGACGTAAATATGGACAAAGTGAAATCAGACGAAGGAGTAAAGTGCATTCAATGGTTTCAATTAAACACTCTTTACCTGAAGGCAGTATACTGACGAAGTAGAACTCTCCGAACATCTTCGTAGTCTGAAGAAATCTTCATACCAACCCTCATCTGTTTTCTTAAATGGTTACTGATATTTTTTTTACTAGAACAGCGAAAGTTCGTACCATTTGGAGAAAGCTGACTGACCGTTCGCTCCCTGCAGGAGTAGGAGCATTGGTCAGTGATGAAAAAACTCAACAGCATCCATGATAAGTTTATTCGGTTGAGACAGCCGTGTTTAGCGGCAAAAGAGAGCTTAATGACGCTGCGTGATTGATTGTGTAAGAGTTTAAAGTAAAACAGGTGAAACAGCACAATAAGTGGCGAGAGGTTTTCGTTCGGCTCTACTTTTTTTCTTAGTTGCGTCCTCCAGAAAAGTACATACAAAAGAATTTTCCGCCAGGACCTTTAGCCCCGTTTTATTTGCACTCCCAAACAGTTACAATTCCTCACTCTAAGAAGAAAGCACCTTCAAGGGTTTCGTCATATCCCAACTATGGCTGGTGCTTGCAGGGGTCTCCATGAATTCAACCACGTAGCACTTGAAATGAACACCACAGGTTCAGTGGTAAGCAAATCATACGAACATCATAAACGAGAGATTCAGGTGAGTTCCAGGTGCATCCCGTGTCAAAACCAAATTGGTAAGCAGATTAGTGTACAAGTCAATGTTCGTGCAATTATGGTTAGTTGCGCCAGAACAGGAACACGACCGTTCAAACGAGAATGGTGTGGCTATGAACAAAAATACCTATCCCGCAAAACCCCAAAATTATGGTTCAATTAGAACAAAAGTATACGGGAAACCTGAGGATCAGGCCTACTTGATGAGTCCCAGGAAGGGCAAAACTGGTCATGGGCTGTAGAGGAGTTTCCGACAACCTTATGAATAGTGTATTGATTTGAAGGGTATTTTGCCAGGTGTTGCTCAAGACACTAGCGTTTCCCAATAAAAAAGAGAGGTTTCATTCACATAAGAATGGTTTTCCTTGGAACAAATGAATATCAAATATCCTCTGTGAGCGGTAGTTTTTTTAAATTCTTTTGTTTTCTATCCAAATAGATACAGTAGTCGTATACAGCTCACGATCGAACCCATGTGTAAGACCATAAAAAGAGTAATTTACCTATTACAAAGGATTTTTTCACTGGGCCCGAGAAGTTAAGTTATTTTTCATCACTGAGCTTGATTTCTAAAAGCTGGCCCTAGCCCCCAGAATGGGCGGACTCGAATTGGGCCCTGGCTCTTGTCTTGAAAACTGTGGACACATATTTCATCAATGGAAATACGTAAAAAAATACGTTTTTCCCAAAGATACCTGAACCAGGCGTGAGTTAGATAAAGAACTTGGAACAAACTTGACGAAATTTGGAGCAGTGCTGTCTTTCATTGAACTTTCATTTTCCTGGGTTCACTATTTCTTGCGGGTATTATCTACGACCCTAGCCTCATCCTCAGTAAATGGAACATTGCAAAAGAACTTGAAGCAATCAAAAGCAAACTAACAGCCACTGTGTATGCCAGCCTGTTTTTTGAAGAATACACAGTCATTCCTAACTATCAGTTCTATACCATGGAGTTTTCTTTGGATGCAAGTAAGTCAGCTTCACTGTAACTATCAGTACTTGATAAAGGGGCTCCCTGCTGCATTCTAGTTACATGTATATGAATATTCGAAGGATTGTGAGTTACCACAAACAGCTGATAGCCAAAGTCAGTATAATCACTTTCAAGCAACCAAAAACTGTCTCATCAGACGGGTGAAAGCTTTGTAGGGCGCTGTCCTTCAGGGTGAGAGATATCCCCCAAAAAGAGGTCGTAGGAGTCTGTAGGGGGACGATAGTGCGTAGAGGGCGGCATCTGTCCGGTTGATGCGGGCAATCTATCCAACGCTGTCATACCCACAAAATTCAGGAAGTGGTCATCCAACAATCGCATTTGACAGCCTTTGTCGCTCAAAGTAATGAATCTGTGGATGTAGACAAACTGGGATGATTAAAACCTGTTGGTTGCTAACGTGCCTTTACTGTAATTAGGATACATCTGTTGTGAAGGCAGCCCTGACCCCCCAAAGGTTTTTGTCAGCTGAGTAGACTTGTGTATAGGCTGTAGGATCTGAGTTGATCACAATAATCTACATGAGTGGCGCCATGCAGCAGCAACTCAGAGATGTATTTATGCCAATAACACCAACAGTGCAGTTTATTCTTGTATGGAATGGTTTGGCCAATATAGATACGGGGACAGTTGTACAACGTGAATTAGCTCAGAACCATCGAGTCATCTTTGATATGATATNCAGAACCATCGAGTCATCTTTGATATATATATATATATATATATATTGCACATAATACAGCAAAGTCTAAAAGTATATACACAAAGGTGTTGCACTAAGTCGGTTGCTCTTCACATGAAGCCTTTGAGATTTAACATATCTGGGAATGTTATCCGCTGGCCTACTCAAGGACGCACGTGAGACGACAACCCGGTTTTATAGCAAGGTTTGAGGAATGCTTGCGCAAGTGTCAGAACATGTTCTGTTCTCACCAACTGACACCACAATGGGTCGACCAGTCTTCGGCTGACCATACTAATAATTTCAGTGCCAGTCGCCTGTTCCTTAATGAAGGCGATTCTTTGTGGCCGAACAATCGTAGGGTCTTACTCAATATATCCACTGTGTAGTCACCAGCATTTTCAACAAAATGTTCGTGGGCAACAATAAAATTGTAGCATAGGGTTGAAGCGACGTGATCAGTGATGGGGATAGTGGGGAAGAACTGAGGCTTACATCATTAGCAGAGGCAAAAGAGCAAGCAATGGTCAACGAGGTATGCTTATACGTATCGATAAAATAACTGTTTGAACTGAGCGAGAAATTCGTACAGAAGGACCGTTTTAGTCCGGAGAAGCGTAATGTACACTTCTGACTGAGAAGATACTACTCAAAAGTAGTTTATGAAAATTCGTGTTTTGCAGCTGCAGCATACGCCGATCCCAGTGTGGATCACAATGATTCCTAATAAGTCCGTTTTAATGGGACAGTGTCAGCAAGAGGAAGGCTAATTAACATTAGCTCTCCTATTTTGTGATGTGCTGGCAACACGTAACCGAAAGAAACAACCAAGTTAGGATTCCTGTTCAAAAATTATTTCGCTTGCAGAAATAGCTATGTGAACGCTATCCCAAGGTACGGAATAAAAGACGATTTTGTTCGCCGTGTCCCCAAGACCGCGTTCAGCGGAGAGACCTTTCAGTGTGACTAATATGTTTTGTCCTATATACTGACACAGAATACATGCTCTTGAACTTGGCTGGCTCTGAATTTCACTGAGTGTTCGTCAGCACGACACTAATAAGTTGGTATACATCCGTTATCGGGAGGGAGTTTTTCACTGAGCTGGGTAATTTAGTTAGACTTTTCGTTGCCAATCGATATGAGATCAGCAGTGCGTTTTTATGAAGCGGAAAGGAACCGTGCACTAGTGGCTGTGCGTTGAGTAGTGTAATGGAGATCACGAAATCACGAATGAACGAGATATGGTTGAACGAGATATATCCTATGCTAAGGCCGTGATCTCTAAGCAAGTATTTGGTTATTTGGTTATTTGGCCTAAACGCACGATCCAGGTATCCTATCTGACAGGTAACGTGTAGTCTAATTCACCGACGTATGGTCAGTAATAATTACGACGAAACCGAATTCTACGAACTTCACCTGCGTCTGTTCAGTAGTCACAATTGGGCGGTGAACAATATATTGAATTGGACGTGGGCAGACAGTATAGATAGGTAGACCGTGGTTCTATAAGAAATTAACAGTAAATCGTGAGGAGAATGAAAGGAAGGCCTACGGATAGATTGAACCCTGGGCAGTTAGCAACACAGTTTGGCACAGAAAGGGTAGTGTGCTATCGGACAAATTAAACGGGAAAAATATTGTTCAGTTCAAAGTGGGACAAATTTTCAACGACAAGCCCAGAAGTCAATGTGAACAAGTCGTCCATAGAAGAACGATTGATGTAGAGTCGACTTTGTATAAAACAGAACAGTTCAGTCTTGAAACTTGAGCAGTCACCGGAAGGGTAATGAATTAGCCTAAGGAATAAGGAAACAGATAATTACGTCACGTAATTAACATGATTAATGGGGGTTTGTTATGGGTGTTTTGTTAGCCTATTGTCCAGTTTTTTTGCAAAAGTGTTTGACGATGCTTTCTGTACTACTGACAGGTCAAATCAAGTCCCATCCATAAAAGATGGTTGTGTAAGTGGGTGAAGTGGAAAGTGCCAGAGACAAGCGCTATTCCTTTGTGACAGTCGAGTTGGGTACCTGGTACATTGTTGCAGTGATATTTTTCCACCGGGAGAATGCTTTCACAAATTCTGGGACCGGTTATTTACTTTGTTTTAAGACGTAATGTTACTCTACGAAAACATAACATTTTACGCAATGAGCTCATATCCGTTCTCGGTGGGTTTCATCCCGATCAAAATCATCTTTTCCATACAATAATCGACTATATTCTCACGTGTTTCTCAAACTTTATCCAACTTGCTCTACAGGAACAGGAGCATACCATCTCGGTTTATCTCATACTTAAACCGTCACACCTAGTGCAGCACTCGCTCTCTGAAAAACACTTGACCTTTTCGGAAAATTTCAAATGGCTGACTTGCGAAATTACATCTATGGATAAGTAAACAAAACAGATAGAAACATCAATTCTTCGCCCAAAAAGGTTACGCTGAGTGGTGCAAGTCCAATAAAACGTAAAAGGTCATAAAAACGCTGCAGAAACAGCAAAGATAAAGAAAAAGTTATTCAATTTGATATGATGGTAGAAGTATGCGCAGAAGCCGGTCAGCAGCCGGTGAGTGGATATGATTCCTCGAAAACTATGGTGTTTTTGGGGCTACCACTTTTTTTAGGTATAAATGTTAAAGCTTAGTGCTTTTCGTTCGGCTTTTTGATGTAAGCAATTTATTTAAATGAGCGATTTTTCAAGTGCAGTGTGTAATGAAATATCTCAACTTATTGGAAAATTAGATCAGCATAAAATAAGAATATGTTGTGCCAAAAAAGGTGTACAACTTGATATGGTATACAATAAAGTCGTCACAAAAGTTGCGGAAAACTTGCTCCTGTAAATAAATTTAGTGATCTTGCTTCTGCCTAAACAGACCGATGCTAAAGCATGTGTCCCTCTAATTCGGAGTAATTATCATTAACATCTGCCAATTTGTACGAAGTGTATGAATTTATCGGCTCCAGAATAAAAGTTTACTCCTAAGATTCCAAATAACTGGCAAGTGATCCGGACGTCGCCATAAATTGTACGTGACCTGATTCCGTAGGTCGAATTTTTTTCGGAAAACTGCTTGATATCGCCATAGAGGCTGTAAGCCTTAGTTCCTTGAAACAATGTCAGCGTTTACAAATGACATTAACCAGTAGGTATTTTCAGGTCAGTACCAAGAAGCTACCGACTGGAATGGTGTTACAGATGTATACAGTGTGCGTTCACTTATGAGGCACACCAGTGAACCCCACCGCGAATCGAGGTTAAATCTCATACTATAATTTCAGATTACTCAAGGTCACCTATGTTAGTTAAGCGCAGCTAGCTTCGATCATGCTATTCAGCTTAACTAATCCGGTTCACCTGCATGACTTATATGCGGTGATCGGCTCTTTGGTGCTCAGTCAACTTGCTCTTCCCACTCAATTAGGAAAGGTTAATAATGTAGCTGAAACAAAATGGGGCGTTTGCATCTTCTTCACGGTGATATAAGTGGATTAAATAGAAGAAGGAAGACAATGACAGTTTATCCGGAAATCACCAGGTGTGGCTGATACCTAACTGACTTCATTGCTTACTTTGCAATACAAGTAAGCATTTTGGGGGTGGGATTCTCATAAGACCGTGCATTTAATGCACTGCCTTGAAGTGGTAGTTCAGTCTCAATATAGTAAAGGACGACTGTGATGATCTTTACTGAGTATTGGGCTCTAAGCACTAGGAGACTCACTCCAAAATTAAAAGCGAAATCATGGCTACAAACTGCTGTACTTCAGACGATGGCGTTTCTCATTTAAAAAGAGCTTTACACGTGTCCCACTTTCCGTTTATCCATCGATTTACGTGCAGTCGGTTGTATAAAAATTTAGTCACTTTGTTGTTGTGAAGGTAGTAAGAGGTAACTGAAAAATAGTCTTAGTGCCTTCAAATGCTAAACCGGACTAGACAACCGGCCCTTCGTGTGTTGTCTATCACGCAGAAGTGCACTCAGCCTACTACTTCCGTCTACATGCATCAGTCTCGCTTGGTTTTGGGAGTAACCTGCGTGCAAAACAGCTATCATTCACATAGTTGTTTAATACCTTGAAGGCTGTGATGGGTGAAATCGCATAGCAACCAATCTCTTTGAAGTTGAAACAAAAGCTTGCTGAGTCATGATGGTAGACAAACAATTTACGATTTAAGTTGCACCAGAAATTAGGAATAAATACCAATTCAAACAAATTTAAACGAAAGTAAGGTAGATTGCGAACCTTTTTGCTTGAGCACGTATACACGAAAGTGCTGCAACACAAAATTTTTCTTCTTCGTACTACTGTTCGGCGGAAACTTCATAGACCCGACTGAGGTCGGCTTCACACGATACATGTTGACTTGGTTAAAAAGCACGCATGATCAATTAAAACATAGCTTATATCCCCGTTGACACCTGAAGCTTTTTTCCTGGAATGTGGTACACACGTCTAAGGGGTGGTGAGCCATATTTATTGGACAATTTAAGATTTTAGGTACGAAAACGTTAACGTGTGAACGAGAAAACTTCCCTTGTAAAGTAAACTGATCTGCACTGCCATTTGATGCACCAATAGCACCACTGACTAGCTGTCCGCAGACAATTGTCGCCCCCGACATACCCTTCTGAAGAAACCAAATCAACTGCCAAAAGCAAGGCTCCCGCTGTTTACCACCTTTGTCCACACCCACTGAAGATGCTTTGTAGCCACATAACGATCTGCTTGAAATTTGTTCGACAGTTTTCGTTGGAAATGTAGCACTTCTTCGTGAGGACGAGCTCACAGCTATTCATCTCCCCTACAACTTTCCGTATGGCGTCAGTGTCCTCAGAAACCATATTTTCTCCTGTCAGTATACTGTTACTGTAACCTTCAATTATGTTGTGGGTCCGCTGGAACTTCTTGTATAAGCTGTTCATGGCCTCTATCGAGCCATCGTCCTCTGATAGTAATATGCTGTCTTCTATAGCTGCCTCAGCCTGTGCAACAATGGGTTGAGTAAAATGGCCGCCGGATGTCATCCCTAACCCTGTTAGTAAATTTAATTCGAGAGCTTTTCATAAACTTTTAAAATTCATGTGAATTCCCGTCTAATTCACATATGTATCACAAAAGATACCCCATTATCTAAGTAGGTATTGTGCACCATTGTCTAAACGACCGTCAGTGCACACGTTCCCATGGTTATCCAACAAACTTGACAAGCGCCGTTCACACACAAACCTGCTTCTGCTCCAGGTGCATCCATACACAAGGAAGGGAAAAATCGCCTTCAACTAGCAGTCATGTGATCCACACTGGCCAGCGACGAATCCACAGTCGTTTTCGTACAACCTCATTGTGGGGTATTCTCACTCCTCTGTTCGTTTTACACTGACCTCGCGCAAACAGAACAGCGAAAGTGTATCAGCATGCTTTTGTGTAGGTGACGAGCGATAATGAACGTTTTTAGTTGTGTTTTGTGATCATGCGAAGTCACTTGACCCTAAGATCTCTATTCCAACTGCTTTCCAGCAAGGCATTACCTTCCGTTAACCTTTGCGCTGCTAGCATAAAAGTTGGTTTTCAAGCAAAGCATTGGATTTATTGGAACTGATGACTTTGTCTACTTGATCAGCCCCAGGAAGGGGAAAACAGGTAGCGAGCTGTTAAGTAGTTATGAACTCCTGTTTTCATACCAAAAACGATGTCACCCAGTTAGGCAAAGTCACTCACTTTTTCATCCCACTCAGTCATCTCTTCTGGCAGTTGACTCAGGCGTTGAAAAGACGAATTTCGCATCACTGTACCCAGAAAAAGGATGCAGAGCGCATCTCTTATTTGATCATGGTTACATTCGTCAACCGGCTTTTGTGAAGATAGCAGCCCAAGTGAACATTTCAGCTGTGTACAGGGACAACTGTGCACTCACTGAATGGCCTATCAAAACCCGCATCGTGCTCTGGCTCTGTCGTACTCTTCGAAAGTTGAGAGTTACTACCGCAAACAGTATTGTCTTAAAAGTTTCTCTTCGTCTATAGACGAACACAAAGTAGCCACTCGATGGGGTAGTCTGATGACCCAACCTAGAAATATTAGGAAATATCGTCTGTTACACAGAATGCGCCAAACGTCAGTCACACTTTTACCAGAGTAACATGCTGTAATCACTAGTGAAATGACATCGTCAAAGTAGACAAACTACCCTGTGTAACCCAGCTTTCCAGGTTAGTAATCTATCGCCCGAATCAGCAGCACCCGTATTCCACTAGCTTATTCTGGTTTTTGGTTTTGATATATTGCAATAGGAGACAGTCACCAAACGGGAAGCGGTAATGTTAAAAATCGTGAAGAAAGTGAACAAGAATACCAAGTGTGAACTTGCTTAGTCTGCATGGTACTGTATTCTCCATTTGCTTTACATAAAGAAACTAAGCCTTTTGTGGGGACTTTGATGTCAGTGAACTGACAAAAACCTGTCTGCCTGTGGTCTAATGTAATAAGCACTATGCATCTAGCTTTTTTCGAACGTGCAAGGTAGTTTAACGTGGCATTTCGGTCACAGGTCAGATGATCCGTACTGCACGTTAGACAAACTCCCATTGTCATACTGAGTTCCTGTGCATAGAAATTATGTATCCGGTCCATGTCCAAGGGCCTACGGATTGAGATCAATTTTGAATTAATGGTAATGTATGCGCTATCCAAATAAGTGCGGACAAATCAAAGTCAGGCTACCAAACAGGTGTGTGCCTCATTGAGACTGACTGTGAACTGAATTCGATTATGTTTGATGGGTCAGTGAAATTTGGAGTAAGAAGGAGAGTTGAGCGACTAACCGAGGCGGCTAGATTCGGATGAATTTTACTGAAGCGTTGAACAAGCTTCCCATATGGTGTCTTATCCTCGGAAATGCCCAGTATATCGTTGACGTAACGTTCCGTTGTAGGGTCACTCACCTGTCTCTCCATAGTGATCACGAACAGGCTTGTCGTCCTTTTCTGTAGGATGAATTCTGGAACTAAAGACTAAAAGCTCACAGAACACAGGATGAGCAGGCTTTTGATAACCTTCACTGGGATGACGTTATTACCAATTTTATAAAATGACAGACTTTTTCAAGTAAATGACTTTGGACTTTCCTAGTGACTGGGACGCATCTGAAAGTCCTGAACCTAATAGTCCTTGATTGAGGGTCCAATTTCTTAACTTGTGCCTGGTCGCCTGGCTCTGATCTAAATACATCAGTCATCCAAATTGTATGGGACCATTCCCACCAAGAGCAGCATCTATCATCCCCGGGTGTAGCTGGCGCAAGCTGAAAACACGTTAGCTGGCTATCATAACTGAGTACAAATGACTCTACCTCCCACTTTTATTGTTGTAATGCACCATTTTCAACGATTGCGCCACGTATCACACTTCTTATTGATATGTTGTTGCATACTCTCCTCTAGCCGACAAACAACTCAACTTGGGCGTCAAATTTATCATCAGCTTAACCGACTGCGTTGCAACCAACTTGATTGCCAAACAGACGGCGAAGTCCCTTGTTTCCTATGTCCCTATCGTCTTCTCCAATTGCCGGATTCAAACTACCTTGTTTGTGGCGCCTATCCATGTCAGTGTGGATCGAATGGCAAAAGCTGTCTATGAAGTGCTTTTGGAGGCCAACGCAGTTTATGCAGGTCTATTGTCCAACGGCCCTACTGGTATGCCAGGTCTTTTTACCTGAAGCAACACTTAACAATATTAAGTTGCATCAAATTTCTAATACTTTGGTTGATGAAAAGATTTACTGTTGATACTTATCGTATGGTGCCCTGCTTTCCTATAAAAACAGATTTGTAGCGCTGTCGCCTGTTTAAGAGTTTTGGTAGAAAACTCTATTCATACATCAAGTTCATAGCGAGTAAATCCATGTAAATAGCCACAGTGCTTGTACTGGCATGGGTGGTATTGTCCTATTTAATTTTTTTGTCGCTTGATGAAGACTTTCAGGTTACGACTATACCAATCGAATGATCAGCCTACCAGGCTTCCAAAACCTTCTCCGTTTGTTTCACCCCATTCAATCCATCGGCTAGCTGTCGGACAGTGACTCCGACCAGCCTCTCATGGTAGTTCATTTTCAATTGATTTTCCATGGCTTTGGTTGTCCCATCTGAAGTCTAGCGTGACTTATGTCTAGCATTTTGCTCGCGTTCTCATCTTTTTGTCATATTGGTGTATGCACAAAACGTGTATCACTCATTCGGGCCACTAGAGCAACTCGTCGCCTCTGCCACTGTTATGTGATGTAGTGTTTATTCCAGATGGACGCCCACCATTTTTCACGAGCTTATCAAACGCTTCGGACACTTTTGCTCCCCACTGCTTCTGTGTTGTCTACAACTTTTTTTAAAATTCTGACGTTGTCAGTCAACCATTCAGAGCCAGGTCTGCATCCCCCTACGGACTCATGAAAGTTTCACAATACCGGTGAAGCACCTAGACAGCAGTTCTTGGCTTTACAGCAGTGGTAGTGGAATGAAACCATCATTGAAGTGCTCCCTGCTTGCATCTAAAACATAAGGAATATCCCCACTCTAAAACATCCCGAACCAGTAAAATATGTTTATTTTTTGAGGCCATTGTTTCTTCACTGGTTTCTTCCTGTAGTAGTAGTAGTGCCTGATGTGCGAGTCTTGACTGTGCTAGCGCACACTGCGCCTTGAAGAGCATTCACCATTGTTTGTCCTTTCTTTGGTTGTTGGTCCTTAGACACGTGTTCCCATACCAAAATCTTTACACACTTTGGGATTCACCTCATCAGACTGGCACTGTCCTTGGCATGATTTCGAATGAGACGTTTCTCTCTTTTCTCCCATATTCTCCTGTTACTCTTTCGCATTCATCGCTTGCACTCACTTTTTATGTTTGTGACCATGCTCTTCAAAAATAAATGATAATAGTAGCAGTAGGATGGACTGGTCGGCTTTCAACGCTCTTTCAAGGTGTATCACGCAAAGCAAATGAAGGAACATGTGCCGGAACGACTTGGGGAAACTGTTTGTCATGATATATTCCACCATTACGATTTACTGGCTCATTAATAGCCTCAACATCTAGTCGTGGTCAAAACTGCAGATCCCAATGCACTCATCTGGCGCGGGCTAGCAGATGCCTTCGCGGAAAATCACGCGACACTTTTGAAACAGGAACCCTCTTCTTCCAAGTAATATAAATTCTAACGAAGCCTTGCGGATAATCGGAACCTGCGAAAAAGCTCTCATAAAACAAACTTTCGCAGTGAAAAAGCACGGAAGTTTGAGTTTTCAGGAATATTAGAGGTGAAAATCAAGTGTTTTTCGTTGTCTGACAGCCCATCAGTTAAAGCGAAACCAATTATCACGTGTTGCCGGAAGAATACGCAACTAATCCCAATTTTCATCTAGCCATTCGTCAATTCTCAATGACTTGGTGCCAAACCGTCTTTGAACCTCCAGTTATTAGTCTAAGTACACTATTTTCTGTGTTTGAGAACGGATATACACTCACCTTATCTAATGACTGATGTGGCTTAGATTATAACCCTGTTCTTTAAGCCTGGTAGCCCTGTTGCAAGCCACTAAATGAAGAAACTACGTTGATGTAGCATCCATATAGATTCGTAGCAGGGGTATACATGGCTTATCAAACTCAGCACTTCTGGCATTCGTGTGAAACTGAGACGTCATCCGTATAACGACAAGCCACTTTGCCACCTCTCTTTGAATTATTGCATTTACGATCTTGCAACTGACAGATTTGGCGACCACATTACAAGACACTGTTCTGCGGGACGCTCGGAACAAACAGAAGCAAATTCATTTCGAGACTTTCCTCTACACATCATCTTCATTTCCTAGCTACGGTGTTCGCCACGAATTTCCCAACCTTCTTGCCTATTTTCGGAAGCGGGGATATACCCTGGATAGGGATCAGTATTATCTATTGTTTCACGATCAACGCAGTCCTTATGAAGAATTGCGTTCCGTAAGTTTTGATCGTTTGTTCCTGTTGATGTTTCTTAGCGAAACTCTCATGTTTCAGGTACTTTTAGGCATTTTTAGGAAAGAATTATGCTTTCAGTTAACTGTCATAACTGATCGAAAACGTGAATAAGATGAACCGAAAATGACTCTAATGCAATCTATTTGAGTAGAAATCGTACTAAGGACATTGGGTTAAGTGTGAAGTACTTTGGTGCAAAAACAGTTGCACCCTGATAGCTATCACCCCTACTGTTGCGTTAGCACCCTGATGGAGGGGCCTGAGGCCGTGTACCAGTAGACAATCGGGTAAAGTTTGGCCAGATCAATCTATTGGCTCGTGAATATTAGTCAACTTACTGTGGCTGCTTGCTCAACTGACAAATTTGACGCATCCAAAGCCTTCTAGCTCTTAAAATGCAACCGAATTTCCCAACCTACATTATTCCACACTGTTTGCGAACCCTGTGAGTCTCGGATGGATCGTTCTAATAGACGCTGAAATCTGCGTCTCATCAACAAGAATGGTATGTATCGGTTGCCGTAAACAAAGCATCCGCAACACCTGGGCATAATATAAGTCGTATTCATTAAACAACCATATCCTGAGGGTCTGGAAATCCGCCATTTTGCTTTCGTATCAGCCACCAGAATGAGCTGGAGTCTTCAAAACTTATGAAAATTGTTCAAAACCCAGTCACTTCCGAAGCACCTGGAAGCCACTGAGGAATTTCCCTACTCTACAACTAACCAATATATTCAGTGGCGCATCACGATGTAGTGCAACTATTCGGTGAAATTACTTCAATTGGTTCTCAGAATTGGTGAGAATGCTAATTAGCACAGAATTTCCTTGAATACGCACATTTTTCGGTTTGGCTTGGTGCTTGAACTTTTTACTCTGAATACTGATCCGTGAGTTAAACAATGAGTCTGTTATTTATCGTCAGGGTTGGAATGCATCAGTGCGTATATACCTCATGAACTTGAAGTGAGGTAAGATGATCTCCCCAAGACTTGTGAGAAACTAAAATAATACTACTAGTGATAAAGTTGTGAGCAATCATCCAAACAACTACTTAGAACCATTCTTCTGGCTAAAAATTCCCGATTTAACCCGACTGGAACTTCAAAGGTACCGACTAATTATTTTGACCGTTAAGCGCATGAACAATATGTACATAACCCCAGAGACGAAAAAACTGTCAAACTAACAAGTAGCCGGTGCGAACATTTTTTGAACAACTATTTTAAATAGATCCCATTCATCTGAAAAATTGCCCCTCAACTTGCCTTCCATGGAATGAGATTTTCAAAGGACCTGGAAAGGTGCATCTATTCCGGTGTTCGCCCTCTAAACACCTTCTAGGATCGGGTAATTTTCTACCCTTTCGGGGTTTTTTAAGGGATGCATGAAGTAAATGTCATTTCACAGAATAACCGATTCTGTTAGGGAAATTCGTGCACAGTTTTTGTTAACAGAAACTGGTGATCAATTAAAAACGGGCAAATAAGGAATGGGAACGCTCAGTAACCAACATACTGCATGTTTTACGGATACCTCATGTTTGGCATTCATTCGCTTCAGAATGTGCCTGTGGGCATCTTCGAAGTCACCGTTGTTGTGGTGTTACCGAGCCTTTCTTACCAGAACTCATTCAAAGAATGCTGGGCATTGGATTCATGTGAATTTAGGTTACCCATGTGCTTTGATATTTGGAAGAGGGACAGGTCTTGCAGTTCAGACATCGTTTGTGAGTCAGTTTATATACTTTTCTCCTTGAAATCGAAACAAATCGTTAGCTACATGTTACTAAACATCAAACGAAACTTCGATAAGTTTGCTGCCTTAGATTACCCTATTAGTGATACCAGTGAAACCTATCTGATATTACACATCAACCTTCGAATTTCAGGGCTGCGATTCTCTTTCAACAGCCTTCGTAGTCGCAATAGCATAAAAATTTTGGGCACATGGATTACGTGCAGACATACAAAGAGGCAGTCATGATGTACTCATGAAGTAATATGCCGCTTTATACGATAAGAAGGGACAAAAAGATGTCCGCACTGGTGGTTTCAAATCACCTGGAAAAAATTCGGGTTTCTGACGGGAATTCGGGGCCCGCGCCACCCGGTGACAGCAAAATACGACATCCGTGTTTTTCTTAAAACACGAATATCAATATTAATTTCATGTTGAAAAAAGGACCTATTAATCCAGACAATCTCAGGATGCGGAATGACCGTGATCCAGATTCTGAAAAAGAGTTCACAGAGTCAGGAAAGTAACAAAACGTTAACCAGAAAGCTGCAGGTAGAGGAGCAACCTACCTGTTTCTTGGTCTCGATTGGCACCACATTTACTAGTGAACTAGTAAAGTCGGAGGCTGTTATTGAGAAGCTTCACACAGTTTTCCTCTAGTACTCTTGCTCTCCCTGTCATTTGAGCTTTCTTCCATAGGATTGTTGGATAATGCTTCAGTAAAACTTAGCAAGTGGTTACTTAAAAGCGATGTACGTGGCTCCAATAGAATCTACCAAACCAGTGTGAAAGGAGTTGCGTACGATCACTATTAGACAGTGCTGCGTGTTAGGCTAACAACGACTTGATCCCATACGTTTACGTGGCATGTCTTCGTTCGCCTTCATCTTGCTCTGTGTGAGACAGCTCTGGTAACAGTTGGATGATGTACCGTGTACTCGAACAGTCAGCTATTCTCTTTGATACCACTGCCTGTCCGATACTATTTCGAGCATTGCTGTGCAGTCGCACTTGCTCACCTTGAATTCATTGTACGTTGCTTTACTGCAACTGGGTTCCGACATCATAGATTACGCTTAAGCTACAATAAAGCCCATATTAGTTCCTCATCAGTTTTTGAAGGATCTTTTAAGACAAGTATTATTGGAAGGTTTTGTTCAGAAACTACTTATAATTGTTGCTCACTTTCACAGCTGTCCCCTGCTTTCCATCACCTGCTTCACGATCCTTGAACCTAAGCATTTTTCAGCGTCAATCAGTCGATCATTTATCCATCACATATGCTACTCATCGAACCATTTCTATTCAGATTTCAGAGGCTAGCCTATTTGAGATGCGGTACTACTGGATCCTGGCTGAGCTGACTGCGTTGGAACCGATATACCTTATCAAACTCTTCAAACAAATGACAAATTCTTCTGCTCTGTGGTTCACATCCGAGCCAAATTTTGGTTTCTTTCGAGTTTTCCCAATATTTCAACCGAAGCACTGTACTTCCACATTTGGGAGTTATTTGATGTTGTTGTTTGCTTCTCAAGTCTACGCGTGTGATTTGACACAAGTACCGGTAAGTCATGATATCTGTATTCTCCTAGCTAGTTTAGCAAGCATAGACGCCTGAGCTACAGCTTATGATGCAAGGGACCATTCTTTTTTTACGGTCAACACTAGGAATGAGTGTCGTAAGTGACCAAGAAAGCTGGATGGGAAAATCTTTACTCGCCAAAGCCGAACGGAAATCGGCTGTTGTACCAAACAAAGTCCGCATTTTTTGCTTCGGGCCACAACTTCAAAATGTGTTTGTTAGTTCATCAAGAAATCCAGTGGTAAACTTCAAGAGAGCGCGAAATAGCAACGTCCTTTGTGGAAACAAATTCGGATGTCACCCTCCGGGTGGTGTCTTTCCGAATTGCCTGTTTCTCTACCCACGGAGATCTCGTTGAAGGGAATTCAGGAATCTGTACTCGGAATGTCATTGAAAATTGATCAGTCATTGCTTTCACTTTTAACAGCACGTGATGACTGTTTACAGGTTTCTGGTGGACAATCACACATGTTTCTCTAGGAGAATCAGGATCAGTTTATCCTTCACAATACAGGCTCTCACTGACTGTGTGTGAGTAGTATCGTTTATTAAAGAAACTTACTTGGATGTAGTTAATATCGGTCCAACATAGCACTAGGGAATCCACCTCACCACACGTGGATTTGGAGAGCCTTGTAAACGAGAGGATTATTCAAATGTTGCTCGTATCCCCCATTTGCACCAACAACGTGTGACCAGAGCAGGACAGGGAATACTATTTCTACCAACTGAAGTAAAGTTACAAGTCCATACTTTCCTTGTACGCGTAAGTTACCGGTTGCTGAGCTCCAAACGGCTTCTCAGAACGCACGCATTGTAGGCACTGTGTGTAATCGTGTCAAAGTTTACTAGAACCTCTCGTGGCGCAGACAAAATCGAACGTCCTAATCCCAAACCGGGCAAATTCGGTTAGGTCAGGAACGGTGAGCCTCATACTGTCTTCGATTGTCAGTGTTACTGGGATCCAGCTGTGCAAAGTAGCACAAGTTCTCTTGTCAGAAGCTATCTTGCTTCCCCTACCTGGTTTGACTTTGAAGGCAACTGTTCTAACCTGTGACTGGTTGACCTGTGAATCCTCTTGCAGTTGTACCATTGAATGTATACAATCATTCACGTGGTTTCTGCCCGACATCCTCTAAATATACTAACCGAACAAACAACTATAGAAAATAGGGTCTGTTTGCCAACTGTGTTCTACTGCTCATTTCGTATTGGTTCTTCGGTACGGAATAAGGGATATACACTCGGTGTTAACGGAGGACTAGGGTAAGAAATAAAACTAGAGCACACTGCAGTTCTGTGGGTGAACAAACCGCATTTGCTGAGTGTGCAACAGGGATTTCGACCGGCTGGGTGCAACAGTCCGGTGGTGTGTAAGAACATGTTTTAGTTGTTCGGTAGAATAATATATGTCGTCGTACTTATCATATGTGTCGACTACTAACAAATTTGGTAGAATTCCATTCCATGGGGTTGTGCGTGAATCTGTTCCCTAGTCTGAACGATGCTCCTTGACCGAATCAAGTATCTACTCCTTTGTTTCAGCTAGGTTACACCCACTGCCCCCTCCGATGTAACTTCTTCTGCAGTGAAATTTCTAGAGGCAAACATTAAATAACATGGTGCCATTAGGCAGATTTGGTTTATTCAAGGGTACAGGTGGTCAATATATGGTCTTTGTGGCGTTCTGCGTTGTTTTACGTGCGCAGTTTGGTCGCTAATCAGATAAAAACGACCAGTGTGCGAAAAGAAGCGGCGCGATGAATGTGTTGTCACATTGCTGGCCGACTGTTCAAAGCAATCAAATGGTTAACCACCCGACAATCTATTTTTCTGACTAATTTACTGTAAATTCGCTACCTGGAATGAGTCATCAATCAACGCGACGCTTTGAGTTTTCAGGAGTCGATTGTCCTGATCTCCTACATCCTATTTCTGGCCGGTCGTGCAGCTTCGATCAAGAGACAGGAATACTGTACCGAATGTTTGTCGGCACCGAACAACTACTATTCCAGACATTTGAATAGAACTGTCTGGCTGCAGCGACGAAATTTTCACTACTCGCTATCTCGAGTAAGTGCATCACAATACATTATCAGTTTCTAACCAAGTCTTTCAACAGATTACGCCTTACTGTGACATGACCGAGGCATGTGTTTCCATTTCTTCCGTTTCAGCACATCTCCGATTCCAAACTGGATAGCGTCTTATGGTTTTTTTCGGTCCAAACCTTCCACAAATCAGCACAAGTTGAGTTTGTTCCAACTGTGAAAATTCCCACGAATAGATCTGCCACTCTGACTGCTATTGGATCTTTCATCTACCGAGCAAGTGGAGTCTCCGGAGTATTCGCGAATCAGTTTTACAGTTTTCATGGAGCTCTACTGAGAGTTGGAGTGATCAAGGTAAGCTAAAACCAACTACACATCTTGGTTGGATTCCGAGAAACTGTGGACATTGTAGTTCACGTCAGATTCAATTTTTCTATTTTCTCTATGGTGACGAAAATATTGGGCTTTGATTAGTCGGAAAATACTGATAGTGGGGTTTGCCCTGCAGAATTTCTGCGATGTTCGATCGATCGCATCCCCACCAGGAGAAGGATAGTAGATCGAACGTTCGCATTCTATTTCAAGTCTTGAGTATATCTAGGGCTGAACCAGACTCCACTAATAAAAAATGAATAGTTTAACTAATCTTCTAACTGTACCGACTTCCACGACATCCCACTTAATCTGTCTTTTAACTCACGGCTGGAATTCCCCTTGAGAACTTCAGGTCTTCAAAGCGAACTCCGCAAGGTCATTGCCGGCAAATGAGTCAAATAACTGTTTCATTTCAGTCCGGAGGACAACATCGTGGGAATTACACTGAGATACTCCATTCCAGAACATCCCTATCTATATACATTACTTGCTTATTATAATAATTGTGTTTTCCTCAGCTCAGTTACCGTTCTGAGCCTCCCAAGCAAGATTTTTCGTAAAAACAATCACCAACGATGCACGTACATTCACGCTCAAAACCGTATCAAAAACACATGTGCAGTGCGTCGCACATGCAGTGTAAGCAGCGACAACCTACTGAAAATTCTGACACCTTGTGGATGCGGCCTTGGAAACCAGCATTCGGCCATTACTGAGTCATGATTGGCTGTTGGGTCCAGACCCCCCCCCCGGCCGAACCCCCAAGCGGCCCGAACTTATGCCCATTCTTTTGCGGGGCCGTAGCATTACCTAACTGCGAGAGGTAGAGCGGTGTTGCTGTGGAATTCCGCCTGACTGGCATCTTGAGTATGTAAGAAAATTATGCGCGCACAGTCTTCCGCCTGTGCGAGTGTGCAGAAAATCACGAATCATTGCTTGCAAAATTACAAAGTCATTTCGTTCGCCCTGAAATTGAATACCTGCAATTTCAATCGTGATAACTGCCTGAAATTTCGTGATATGCCCTCACTATTTGGTCGCCTCCACTCCAAGTTTCGTTCCAGTATTGGTTAATTATTTCACTAATGGAGAGGAAGCTTTATCACAAAACGATCCGTATCCCAGTGCGATATCGATGATCTTAGGGCATTTGTGAATGCATAATTGGCTTTGGAGTAACCGAGCGGCGATGCATAAAAATTTGCTCTTTATAAGCTGTGTGGTGATCTGGGGCGATGTAATGTTGGAATGTTGCTATCCCAGAAGGGTACAAGCACTGTTGTATCCTTATTGGGAACTAACAGTAGTCAGCGCGCATCTCACGATTATCCAGAGTGTCTAGGACTCGTGACCATAAGCAGCTGATCAGCTATGTGATTAGCTCACAGGATATGGCGCACCTCATTCTGCGGTCATGAAATCCGCATCACTTAATCACATGTATTGACTGGCTCCCAAGCTGAATACTTTTCAGAAATTTCACTCGTCGGAGCTCTCACTCAGAGCTACATATTTTATTGATGGTGCCAGGAGGTTTTGGAAAATTGATGGGTATTTCATTTTGTCTAAGCCCACGATAATCACACTACTCACCAACCGCTCGTGGGTGAACGGTTAATTGTTCAAAGTACTATTTGTGGAGGTCGTGGTTTCGAGGCTCTCTACGGTCCCTTGAGGTGTGCACGGCTGATGAATTCAATAAGTATAGAACAGGTGCACAGTGCTTCTTCACTTTTTGACATGGATTAGCTCCACTGACAAGACTAAATGTTCATTAGAAAACCCCAAGTCTCNTATATATATATATATATATATATATATATACGTCTATAGCGGCCGCACTTCCATAATGAACGCTCCTAATTAGTCTGGTTGCAATCCCCCTATACTAACATCACTTATGTCGCAAATTATGTCTAGTCTCTTACCACTGGTGAATATTTTGGAGACAATGTTCCTGCGATTCCTGTGTCACTGACTGAGATAATTCGTACTTATGTTAACTGGTCCATTGGGCCACACTGATCCTACCATGCCTCCCCAAGACTGAAGTGAGATGTGTGGTCTAGGACTCCCGATTCTAACATGTTAGATCATTGAAAAATTCTTACATTTTGTACTTAAACTGTTCCTCTGTTGGTAAGATGCCTGAGTATTTTTCGGAGATTGATCACCGATGTGTTGCTGGACTCGTGGAAAGCCATTAGGTCTTTTTACTCAGGTACTGTGTTTTTTTTGTGGTAAACAAAATCGAAGTGAATTTTGTTGGTGGTTCTTTCCCTTAGTGTCCAAATAATAAAACAAATTCCAACATCTATACTGCGCAAAGTTTTTCCGTAGAATGGCGGCTACATTGGCTGTTATGAATGAAATAAAGAGAGCAAGAGAGTAATATTACATACTCCTTCATGAATTACTGATCTCGATCTTTGCACGACAATTTAAAGTGGCTTGAAGTTATCAGTATTCCCCATAAAGATGCCACTTTTAATACGCACTACCAAGTTTGCATTTTCATGGAGAACGAATCATTTGCTATGTCAATACAGCATTATCCGCTTTACTCTGGCCACTTTTCAAACGAATTTCAGGATGGACTGTTTGTGACCCATGCCATCAAAGGAGCGAATTGTGAACTGACTAATGTGTCCGGTTTGGGTGTTGAAATACTTGATGCCATGGCAGCAAGGTTCAACTTCACGTGAGTCCACACTGATTATTATCGGTTCAACGCATTTTCGCTCTCGTGAGACAATGAAAGTGAACGCCTCCTTATTCAAGTATACGTACGGTGATCTTTTCCACTAGTGACCGCAGAAGGGTTTCAGTGTATACGTCGCGCATAGAACCGAGTCAAGTAAAATGCCCTAACTGCCCTCAGTTATCGGCAACCAGTCAAGACCGCCAATCATCTTTGATAAAACTCGGCTTCTTTTCGAAAAATGGGTTTTACTATGACTGGAGTGAACTGGCTGCGTTTGACGAAAGGAGCGCCGGAAAAGTTGGATCCATACAGAGGGTGACATGCAAAGACATTTACTTGTAGGTGAAGCCACTCCAATGGATACGAGTTAATGGATAATAGATATTATGGAAGCCCCAGTGTTTTATAAATCATGCCAAACTCTGCACATGTAAACGTCAGTGCTTCCGGATTATGGAGACGCCTCATCGAAGCTGCTATCTTGATGGCAGCCATTTGTATAGCTCTGAAAAGTCCCCATTATTGGTCCATTTTTCGAGGTATTGATTCAAATCATACTTCGTGAATCAGTCTACAACAACGAACCACTTTATGCTTACTGATCTGCTTAAATAGACTACACAATTGTTGGAGCTTGTGTATAGGTATTTTCTCTGGACAATATCGGACAGCAACCTTGGTTAGTCAGTTTACTCACTTGCATATGATACAACATGCCATCGTTTTGCTCGTCAGCCCCCAAGGATCTTTCACTCAAAACGGAACATCTAATTCCTTGCGGAGCCAGCAATTGCACCATTCATTTATTGACACTATGGCTATGCTTCACCTACAGTAGCCTCCTGGTTGTGGCCTTACCTAATTGTTGTAGTTGCAAGAATCGGTTCTCTTGCCTTGCCAATTAATCTGATAAGCCTATTTGTGCATCCTCTCCTGACTCTACATGTTGAAACATGTACTCCGTCGTACCCCTACTGGTGTGGAAGATGATATCACATTGTGGTCACTTGACGATATAGGAACAAAAGATGTGAGCGTACTGGCAACAACCTACCCTATTTTATTACCAGTAACAATGATGCGGGCCTCGTCTACCGTCACCGGCATTTTCTGAGATCAACGTAGATCGGACAATGCCTATTCATCCTCTTGGCTGCGCTGACTGACTCACAAGTACCAGTTGGCGAGAAAAACCTGAGTCGGTGCTCCACTATGACCAGGATCAGTTAGTCCGCTATTGATGGCACAGACAAACAGAGAAGGATATCTTCATCATCCTCCATAATTCACAACTGCGTGTCACTTGGTCACTCATAACGTTAAAGAACACGTCAGAAAGTTTTAGTGTTGCTCAGGCTGTTTGATGCTCTCTAACAATGTTTGAGATAAAGGTTACAGGTCTACTGAGGTAGTTTGAATACGCTGAACACAATGCGGTAGTGAGAAATGTAGTTGTGAAGAAAACCTCACCAGTTTGGTGTAGACTGGACCAAATAAGAAAATGCCGCGAGGCAAACAACCACAACGAAGGTAGGTGAAATAAGTCACATTTTATGAAAGTCTTGAATACAGCAACCTAGAGGATATAAATCTAGATCCAGGTTTGGCTTGAAGGGTACAAGCTGTCAGAAGTAAGTAAGTACATTAAGTAGACTGCTTCGAAATTATTATGGTAGGTGAAAATTTGTGGAATACTACAAGGAGACTAGCGAAATACACTCATTTGCAAACCAATTTGGTTTTGCCGGAAACTCACCTGAAACGTAGACGAAATTTCACGACACATGTATAGAAATAATAAACTACTCATAGGGTTGCTGGAGATTTATCAACACTGGTCGTGAGTTGTCGAAGAGTTTTCAACAACCTTATGAGTATTATACTACGTTTACGCATGTCTCGCGATATTTCGAACATCATATCATCTGAAACATGAGGCGGCCCGGTACAGCACATTCAGTTGCTTGAAATCAACATAAGCGAGAGATTCAGCTGGGTTTTAGGTGAGTCTCCCACAAATTTAAATTTGTTTTCAAATGAGTGTATTTCGCTAATTTCGTGTAATTTGGGCTCAAGTAAAACATAAGGTTGACGAAAACTCGGGGACTATGCCTAACCGATGAGCCCCAAGAAAGGGGAAACTGGTCGTAGGCTGTGGAAGAATTGTTGGCAACCTTACGATTAGTGTCTAGAATACAGCAATATCCTAAAACCATTTAGTTTTCTAACAATATTCATAAGTTTACTTGAGGAAGAAACCCGTTTCCGTATGGACCCCAGAATCATAACCTTTTCATTGAACATCAGGTGTAAATTCAAGTAATTGAATGTGTCACATCCAAACCAAAATTTCATAAGCTGATCTGGGGACGTGGGCACAATAACATTCAATCATGTTCCTATTCCCGAGATAACGATACTTGAAGCCTGACGTGTATCTTTCAACGCTATATCTTGACTTCCCCATTTTGAAGACAACAAATGCACGCATTATCTTGACTATCAAGGGTGCTCAAACTGAGTTTTTCTGTAGAACCAGTCCAGTTCCCCGCAGCAGTGATTATCTATCCTATCCGATTGGTCACCCAGGTCAATCCACTAACCTAGGACAACTACACTAAAAATGCGTCCTGACAATCTAGGTCACCAACCTGCAGAGTGTCAGGTGTGTCAGGTACCGCCAAATAAGTAAATACGGTTCAGTCGTTCTGTCTATGATTACTGGATGGATCCAACTATTCAATTAAAGAAATAAGGACGATTCAAAAATCTATTCATATCCAACTGAAGGGCCACCTCTACATGTTTTACATTTATTAATTTTCCAGTGCTCTGGGAAACTCTCATTGTATCCGTTCACATTAACTGACACCATGACTAACTCCACGGGCTAAGAACTATTCAGGATAATTTTATTTCTGTCTTGCGTTGCAAACTTTATTTTCGTTCCATGTAAAATAGATTATCCTGACATAAGAAGCTACTGCAGTGAACACTTGGACGAGTATTGGAGAGATGTGGGGTGGTGGGATCATACTGTTCGTTAAATTCATCTCCACGTTCAGACTGTATTCACGAAAGTCCAATTACTCTCCTTCTTTGTTCTCAGGATGGCAGCTCATCTTTTCCCCCACATGCTGTTCACTTAGTTCTCCTCACCAGACCGGCTATACCCTTGACAGTCTTGGACTTTACTTTTAAAAATATTGCCGTATTATAGATAGGTTATTGAAACACGTCCCCGGAACCAGACAACCCTGTTGGGTGTATCAGTCAGCTTTAAAGTCGGCGGGTAATTTGGCTTGACTTCATAATTTTGTCGTGTAGTCACTAGCTTCTGCACCCCGTTTTATCTTAGGCCACGTCCTTCGCGTACCAGGTAAAAGAACTAAATTTTATCCATAAGAATCACAACATACCTATACATACTACACGTTACACTGCATTATTTGCATCTCTACTCACCTTAACCTAGCTGATTATAATATATATATATATATATGCAGTAGTAGATATACCACATTTTCCTTACAGTGTGATATCATTTTAAACCAGAGACCAGTTTTGTCGTATTTCTTTACCACACTTCCGGTTTAGTTTGATTCATCTAGACTGTGTTTTTGCCATTTCAAGGAAAACATACCGATATTTTTATGCTAGCATATATCTATGCGATAGAAAATACCTAACACGGTTCACACAATAGTTAATGAACTGACTTGTTTTGAGGTCAGAAAACTTTTTCTGGTAGTCTGAGGTTTGAGATTTCTCTATAGACATTCCTCCAAGCTGGTGAGGTCTATCTGTGGTGAAAAGCTAAGAGGCATTGTTAAGTTGTTCTATCCCTGTTTGGAATCACCATCAGTGCATATCTCACAAAACTCAGAGTTTCTAACCCGCGACCTTCCAGCCTAAAAATTTGGCTGGCCGTGACAGGCTAGCAGTGCCATTAACTTACACTTGAACCGCTGTACAATGCCTCTCGACTTTTCAGCATAAATTTACTTTACTTATGGGACGAAATCTCCATAGAGAAACTCCCGAATCCCGTCACACAACCAACAGAAAAAAAACTTTGACTTGAGCCTCGGTAATACGTATACCTGATGTGACTCAAACCGGGCCCAACCAGTAGTGAGACCTTCCAGCCTAAAAATTTGGCCACGAGTGACAGGCTAGCAGTGCCATTAACTTACACTTGAACCGCTGTACAATGCCTCTCGACTTTTCAGCATAAATTTACTTTACTTATGGGACGAAATCTCCATAGAGAAACTCCCGAATCCCGTCACACAACCAACAGAAAAAAAACTTTGACTTGAGCCTCGGTAATACGTATACCTGATGTGACTCAAACCGGGCCCAACCAGTAGTGAGCGGTCTTAGGGAATCTTCTCATTTTTGTATAAAAAATAATTTGAGTTGTGAACTAAATTTCTGTAACGTAAACGAAAGAATGGTTTCTGAATGTTATCAAAGCACAACCTCCCATCCAAGCAAATCGTTCTTGTTTCCTGAATGGGTTCATTCTTACCAAGAATAAAGGCTTTATTGCACTTGCCATCCAATAGGCTATCAAATTCCTTCTGGAGTAAAAACCCATATCTTTGAGCAAGTGATAACATGTATAAAATGATATTTTTGAGGTTTCGGCAAGTCTTTGTTCATCTGGTGACACTCGATTATTCACGGACAATAGTTTGCAGGTGTACCTCAGAAGTAAATCGAATAATTACGTAAATACACGGGGATTTTTCCTTCTTTCTCGAAGGTATGTACTCATGGAGCCCTTCGACTCCCACTATGGAGTTTCTATGGACGGTGGCAACTGGACCGGTCTCATTGGTGACTTGCTGAACAACGTGAGTAGTAAATACTATGTTACCTGAAGTTATAGACAACCTGTAGGGATTCCGTGATTTCACTTAAGATGGAACCCCTCAAAAGCAGACATGATTTCTTCTGGTCCCAATATTCCCATTTACAAATCTCCTGTGAAAGGAACACTCCATATGAGATGTCGTTCAACTGACCACCGAAGCATGTGGAAGATTTTCTCTGCCCAAATTATCTATAGATTAAACGTTAGAGTTTTGATACATTTAAATTTAAGCTGAGCAGTTCAGTAGAGAACACGGGCATCTGATTTAGTTTCGTTGACTTGCTCTAAGTTATTTCTGAAGGACAGCAAGTTGTATTCATCACTCTGCTACATCGGATTCTGTGTGGATAAACTTCGTAGAACTGTGTTGATATTTGATGTGCATGACGTTTGCATGCGAGTTCTGGATGAAACCGACTGGACTACAAATCTGCCTTGATTTCACCAACCAACCCAAAGATAATGCAAATTCGATTAGGAAGCTCTTCCATTAAAGCAACTGATGTCGAGCCCTCGGTTAAGGGTGCCGTGATGAACAACTATCGCTTCACACTTGAATATGGTGTTCGTTTATGCCACCTCGAACTACCTGCAAGCTGAAATGCAGCGTTTTCTACGTTTGCGGATAAAATGATTTTGTGAACTGAATGCTATTTGATAACTTATGACGAGTTTTAAAGTTAGTGACACTAAAACGATACTGAAACTAAACACTGTCAAACGGGAATAGGAGGCAGATCAGCCCAGAGTAATTTGGGAACTACCACCGACGGGGGTTTACAGATTTAAACCAAGGTGTATCTTGGAGATTAGCTCAATGAACTATTGTGTTTAAAAGCGTGCCCATCATTCCAGCAATCGACGGACTTAAGCCGTGAAAGTGAACTGTAAAGAACTAGTGGCACATCCAGTAATCACGTTCACGCCCAGTTTTCCGATTGCTTGTTGGAGTAACTGACCATTAGTGAAGGGGTGATGTTTCTTTAGCGGAACACTGGTCGATGAGGTTATTTAAAAGCACTTATCTTGGTTTATTGAGACTATCGCACGCCCAAACCTGTAAACAGTGATCCGAGTTATTTTCGATGACCACTATCATGGAGACTCAAGTAAACCACAACGTGGTCGGTCATATTATGGTACACCGTGATCCGGGTCTGGCTCACCGATCTATGTGAAGTGGGGACTGTTGAGTCCCATTGACCTGTTGACACTTGTCACTCTAGACAGCTCAGCATATAAATCAGGTGGGGTACCGAAAATGGATTTACGTGAGAACCACATGGGCCAAATCAAATGAGCCCATGGCCCACTGTGAAATACTATGTGTGGGTTCCTTCTTGTTAGTAAAACTGTTCTTCAGGCTGCCCAAAGCATGCATCAGTGAGCTCCAGTGTCTAGCTGTTGATTTAGGTCTGAAAATAGCCTGCCTAACCAGACCCGACACCCGATATAGTTAAGCTCGCAAGATTGCTAGAGGTGGCAGTCTGCGACCGTTCAACGCATGAGTGAGCAGATCGGACTACACCAGCTGGCTAAATGAGTGTCCGTAGACCCATCCTAAGATTAGTAAGAGACAGTGTCTACAATTGTCTCATTCCTGTCTTACCTGTCCGATTTGAAAGCTACTGGTTTCCAATTGGGTTTATTAACGGTTTTGTAGCTATCCTAATCTATCAAACCTTATTCTTCCAACTTCATATTGGGTTACAGGATGCGCTAGACGATTTCACGTCTGGCTCACCACAACCCGCTTACATATGCACCAAATTCAGACCAGGTGCATCGGTATATCTCGACTACGGAGCAAATCCGGAAGCTGAGACCAGCTCAGTGTGTATTGGTTTATGCCTATGGCCGCGATTCGCATTCAGCCAGCTTAATATTCAAACAGGATACAGTCTATTCAGGATAGCAAGTGGTTTCTAAGCTCTGTTACCCTCAAATCAAATTTACATTAGCCAGCAAGGCGCCAGTGGACGATTTCAGTCTGGCTCACCACAACCCGCTTACATATGCACCAAATTCAGACCAGGTGCATCGGTATATCTCGACTACGGAGCAAATCCGGAAGCTGAGACCAGCTCAGTGTGTATTGGTTTATGCCTATGGCCGCGATTCGCATTCAGCCAGCTTAATATTCAAACAGGATACAGTCTATTCAGGATAGCAAGTGGTTTCTAAGCTCTGTTACCCTCAAATCAAATTTACATTAGCCAGCAAGGCGCCAGTGGTAGTTTAGATTACACAGGTCTTCCAAAGGAAGTAATTTTTGTAGTTCATTATAGCAATTTAAACCGAACCGAAAGGAATGAGCCCAAAAGTACCGAAGTCGTTGAGTGAAATGCAACTGCTTTACTCTATTTACCTATGCTAATGAAACAAGTCGGATATACAGTCATCCCACCTATGAGAACCAGCGTTGAGGAAATTCAAAAATGTTCATTGTCCTAGAATGATCTGCACACGGCAAGGAACAGATTCCCCAATGAGCCGACCGTTCAGGGAATTCCGCTTCGTCTCATCCTTTCCTGTTCAGCCGCTCATTTCGTTAGAGGTTTTAGAAAACGGCTGTTTGGAGCACGTGTTGAACAACTGGTTTACCAGTTGGAGGATTTTAATTTGGATGTTAATTCGAGCTCCCTACATTCCCGCTCGATGAGCTCTATCAAATAGCCTATTCTAGTTAAGTTTTTCGGTCTCCGGCCACATCATTAATACCCCCAAATGTTCCGAAATCATGACTGTCGTCTCCTTGAGGCAACTGATGGCATTCTGACTATTCTCTAAAAAAACAGCTTGTCTAAACAAGTCAACAACTAACAAAAATTCCATTCTCTCAACCATTTTCACACTTGTAGATATTAGATCCGTTCTATATGGTGCATATCAAACCTCAGTTTGCAAAACAAAAGTGTCATAACTTTTTCCACTCCCATTCCTCCGTAAGCGAATCGATATGGCGGTCGGCTTGCTCACACTGACGGAACAACGTGCCGCGGTCGTACAATTTTTGGGACCTTTTATGAAGACTCACGTAGTCACGGCCATTGCACAACCGCTGGATAACCTCAGATTGTTTCAAATGTACAAACCTTTCCGGTTTCATGTTTGGTTCACGACCGGTGTGGTTATGTTACTTTGGGCCCAGATAACAGTTCTGTTCAACCGCTACAGCTCGGATAGTGCATGGAGTCGTTACGATGGTGAAATAGCATCTCAAGAGGTGTCTTATCTGGCCAACCTATGGGCACAAATCAAAGCAATGGTAGGACAACGTAAGTTGATGTTTACTTAGGACCAGTATGAGTGTGTTTTCGACCACACTTTTCACCTTACAGATGCCATACAAAAGATTGTAACGTAGGTGACAGGTACGTGTGAAGATACACTAGGTTATGCACGGTTCACTGACTGGTAAGCTAGTTTGTAAATGAGATTAGATTCATTATATCAAATCAGCAGTCGCGTTTAATCTTGTTTTGTTGACTCTAATAGCAGATCTTCATCGGCGACATTGGTTTTGGCTTCAGTTCGCTGAGCACCCATCGTTGTTTTCAGACAGTCAAGGTAACAATTTAAAATTAGACGTATTTTGATATGAAGGTCGCCATATCTGGGGGAGGGTGTAATCTTTAGTTAGGCGCCTGCTAGTTCTTTTGGGCAGAATTCAACACTATAGCGACATACCGTTTGTCAGTAAATCATCCTAAGGCTAAAAACTATACGAACATGGCAGAAATCGATATCTAGGTGGGAGGTGAATCAGTACATAGAACCGATCAATTATTGGGCTACTTTGTGATCCCAGACATAATGCCATTAACAGCGGTGCGTGTGCAACAGAAAAGGTGAATATATACACAAGCAAATGGACCAGAGGGATGTCACGACAAAAGTCCATCTTAATCATATCCACTTCAAACTGAAATCCTCTACAAAAATAAAACGCTTGTCTGTGAAACCATTATGATATGAGGCTCTCATGCAACCCGAAGGATAGCTGAGGGCACGTTACTCATGCCGAGACAATAGTAATAGAAAAGCAAGGGTTGGATTCAGGGAAAAGAACTCTTGGTTGGCCAGAATGTGCCTTAGCCACCGGGCTTAATATAAAAAGGCGTAAGCCGTAGTTGATTTCATCTTGACAAGTTGGTTTCACTTTGCTCGATTTGAACAAATATGAGGGATACAAAATAGGTCCAGCTCGCCCCAAGCTAAGCAAGCTACGGTTACTGTACATCAAACAAACCAAGTAAGGCAAACGCCATCTACTTTGAAAACCTTACTGTTTGCGGCATGAAAGGTCTATGGGTGCAAAAGGGATAATTAAATAGATGAAATTTCAATAGCCCTCAAAATACGTAAGTTGGGGGCGTTTGAGCTCTAAGGAAAATAGGTTGTCTTCATGCGGAAAGATAAAGTAAGCCTATAAATCATCAAGTCTCCTCACCACATAAACAATCAATAAGTGACCCGGAGTAATCCAAAACGAATGAAACTTCCATATGAGAGGTTTTCGCTCGAGAAGTCAGTCAATACGTGACCATGTGATATGGTTTCTGTGAATGGAAGAAGTCCAGAGCTTTATCCTGTCAAAGTGAGCTAACCACACTGCTGATCAGTAGCTCGTGGTCCGAATGGTTAAATGTTTAACCGCTAGCCTGGAAACCTAGCCTTACGAAACACTGGGTTTCGTAAGATGCGCAACGTTAATGGGTCCAAATGAGGACACTATAGATTGGTTTCACTGACAAGACGAAATCTCAGTTGGGCGTTACCAACTCTCGCTCGAGAAGCAGTCAATACGTGACCATGTGATATGGTTTCTGTGAATGGAAGAAGTCCAGAGCTTTATCCTGTCAAAGTGAGCTAACCACACTGCTGATCAGTAGCTCGTGGTCCGAATGGTTAAATGTTTAACCGCTAGCCTGGAAACCTAGCCTTACGAAACACTGGGTTTCGTAAGATGCGCAACGTTAATGGGTCCAAATGAGGACACTATAGATTGGTTTCACTGACAAGACGAAATCTCAGTTGGGCGTTACCAACTCTCCTGACCCTTTCATCAGTTCTACTATGCTTTTTCCAATTAAAATTCAACGAATGTACTCGTGCCCCACCTGATCGAATTTTTCAGTAGTCCTCCAGAACTATTTTTCTCGACAGTTTTCCACATTTTGTCCAAACACGATGTGAAAGACCAACTAATTCCAAAATTTCATTTGTTCTTTACTTCGACTTGCGCGTACAGCTAACCATACGTTTTCTACGGCCTGTTCAACTCGGATCTTGATTCTAAGTTTCTGGTTCACGGTCGTTGTCTGGCAAACTAGTTGGCAAGCTACAATGACTGCGCAATTCAGCAAGGAAGAATTCATCCTTCCGGTGAAAAACTTGAAGGACATTACCAAGCAGTCGTACATTAGACCTATTTTCCTCAGCGGAACAAGTGTTCAATCGTTGTTTGAGGTAAGTTCTCCAAGATTATGACGTAACTCAGCATCGGAAGGCAGGACCGGTATGAAAATTTTGTTTTAAACTACTGGACAAGATTTACATGAATAGCGAATCACTTACCTTTTGTGGGCTTTGACTTGAACTAACCCAGAACTCTTTAATCAGTTAGACGACGCCCAAGAGTGGGGTTGGTGAACGATAAGGTACAGGGCTTGGAAACCTGAGCGATAAGCAACAAGCCCTGTTCTACTGTAGTAATTTCATGTATGGTGAAGCCACTAGTTTAGCTGTCCGTTGTGCTCACCGAGCTTAGCGACTGACCATACCCCGCGTATTCACTAGAACTGAGATAAGGGTGTTGTAGCATATGTCATGAATACTGTGACCCGAAAATTCGGAACAATATCGCCTTATGCGAGTGAGGGAACCCCGAACGACTGGTTGACCTATCAACGTCGGTCCATCCACCATCCTTACATGTGCTCCATTTTTCAGCAAGGTTCACCTTTGTTCACCTTTGACCCAACAGGTCTTGATATACCCAAATAATAAGCGCAGGGAAACGCCTGCGTCGTTTGACGTAAACGCCATTGGTATTTCACTTTCAAACAAGCTTCAATCATATGTTGTGCTCATTCGGTACCTGACTTTGGTTCATTTACATATACCACCATGTTATACACCAACCCCAGGTGGGCTACGTGGCGAAAATCATTGACAACTTTGACAAAAACCATGTGTTTGGAGCGCCGTGAACACAACTGAACACGTGTGGCAAAAGTTCATGATGGAATTTATTGTCTATAAGGAGGATTTTTTAATCTTTCTCCGGGAATTCGCGTCTTAGCTACTTAGACACTGTACCGCTGTATTTCAAGTCAATTTACCGCCTAAATGAGGAGTTCAAAATATGTAAACCATCTTGATTTAGAGTATCCAGTCAGATTTTGCTCAAAAACGGTCCATAGAGCAATCTGCTATCCAAACGAACTGGAAACGTATTGAGAGGTTTCGTGGGTTATTGCGGGATCTGTGGACTTCACAGTGTTCTCCTTTGAACACTGTCCTCCTCCTGCCACTACAGTTACATGATGGTTGTTTGAGGAGTCGAGCAAACCAGTTATACCGCTCAAGTTCACCATGATAATTCAGGTGATGGAGTGATGGTGCTTCACATGTTTGATGTCCGTGGTTCACATCACCGGCACGGTCCAGGATATGCACTGCTCAATCTTTCCCCCTTGGAATGTGGAATCACAAGAATAATTGTGCCAGGACAAGAGGACGGCTGTTCAAGCGAGAGTGACGAGGATTTGAATGTTGAGATTCCCCAGCCAGATAGATAGATTCTGCATTACAAATTTACATGTATCGCGCTATCTCGAATATCGTAGCGACCGAAACATGAGGCGGCGTGGTGCCTGGAAACATCGAAACCCGAGAGATTCAGCTGGGTTCCAGGTGAGTCTCTCGCAAAACCAAATTTGTCTGTAAGTGAGTCTGTTCCGCGCAGTTTGGTTTCAAGTAGAACATAAGTTTGAAGAAAACTCGGGGTCTGAGCCTACCTGATGAGCCCCAAGAAGGGCAAAACCGGTCATGGGCTGTCGAAGAGTTTTTTGTAACCTCATGAGTAGTGCATTGGAAATAGATAACCTATCAGTTTTAGAACAAAATTTGTTAAAATCTAAAGGCAGGGTAACATTTGTAGAATTTTCCCCGTATTACACTCTGAATGGTGTTTCCATTAACCAAATAGCTCACAACCCATACCTGGTCGCAACCTGTCCCTCGAAATATTAGCATCAGCTTGAGCAGATTTACCCAATCCATCCAAAATTACACAAAGCAGGTCTGACTGGAAATCTTGCTGCAATTTTGTTCTACGTCATTTGGCACACCTCAGTCTGCACTGTCTGACTCAAGTGTGCCACTGCCTGCTATTGTGACACCGGACGCTAAAATGCCTAAAACTTGAAACGAATGTACAGTGCTTCAAAAAATGACAGAGCACATGATGGAACTGGCAATTTTTCTTTTCTTGACCCAGTGTGCCAGCTGTTGGCTTCTTAACACCATCTTCCAACTAAATCACCTCTGCCATGCGCACTAGAACGAGGTCAGCGGTCCTCTGGGGCTGACGTTAAGAGCACAAGACATGAAACCGAGATTGGGCAACGGAATCTTAGTAGATCCGCTCAATGTGACGCAAAAAAGACGAGGCCCTCGGACAGTTTTTCAAGGACCGGCCACTTCTAATTCGACTTTTTTACTGCTTGTTACCCATCAGATCATCCATTCGATTTGAAAAGTTAGATTCAGCTGCCAGTTTGCTCACAAGTTGTCAGGTTTTTAATGTTATCCACTTATGCGATAAACCTAACCACGTATGACTGAAGCATATAAGTAAGCCTGCGCCCAGCCTGTCCGATTGAAACAAGTGCTTCTTCCCCGACCAAAGTTTCCGTATCGACAAACATGAACATGTTTCCCCACGCAGATTTCGTCTCTTGTGCCAGACGATTGGAGTCCAGCTAACAGTATTCGCTGATAAGCTCCAAAAAGGGCAAATATCTAGTTTGGTTGTTCCATCTCTGATCAAGGCTAATTGGGTTAAATTCTCGAGATCAGTGAGTTTCAAATAGATGAATTCATTTGCGGGGCACGTCGAAGTTGCCGGTACTTGTGTCTAGGTTGACCATGCCTCAAAATCATCAATACTCACTAAAATGTAGCCTTCTTTATGAAGGGTGTATTCCTCTAGTCATCATCACCACAAGTATGCCCAACCTCTTTCACTTAACACGCCTCAAGCCAAATAGAACGGAGAGTCGCGGGTTTTCGCTTCAAACAACAATTTCTGTTTACCACACCGGTTAGGTCGTAACACTACCACAGATGACTGCACACGTCACTAAATTGTGTGAGACACCAGAACACGGCCCAACACATTTAATTACGGAGACCATGTCTACCAAAGTGACTTTCTATATACAACTTTATGGATATCCTTGTTTGGTCTAGTATCCAAGACATAATTCAGGTCCACGCTGCAAGCTACTATGCTATCAATCAATAATGATGATACATACACAAATTTTGAAGGACATGACTCTGAAGAATGTAGTTCACTTTAAACCAACCCAATGATGAACATCGCCGCAGGAAAGATTACCCAGGGTGGAAGAAAAATTCACCCTTAAGCCTCCGGGTATCTCCAGAAATAACGGAATCATACCCTTTTGCAAAGTATCTACAACTTCCAGGGAGTGGCTCAAGTTGCAGAAGGTGCTCTTCAGCAAGGCTACGGGATCCTCATAATTATATGTTAGCAGGAATCACCTTCCTGAGTAAAAAACCTATTGGTGGTCACTCATTGACTGATGATGACAAGCTGCGGTCAACGTCAACCGTGTACTTACAAACCAGTTTGACCTCTTTCACAAGTTGAGGAGGGCTTATTACGTAATATTCCGGATTGTGCTTCCCATCAATGTGTTATCCTGAATGCATCTCGCTTCTGTCTAACTAGCTTGGAAGTCTGGTAAAAAACGGATCCTAACCAGGGCAAATGCTAACCCAACCATCCCAATCTTGTTTCAACACCTACTTTTGGTCAGTAATAAGACTGTCCTGTCCAGCTGAAGTTGAATACAGTTTAAAGTTTTGAATATACTTCCCGGCGTACTCAGTGTCCACGAGCAAATCCACCTCAGGCCACTGTTCCGATAGAGCTTATCAATCAATACTGAGTTTGTAGCTGTATGTGCTTTTGATGTATTCACGAAACTCATCAAGGCCTCAATTCTTTACGCCTTTCAGCTTTCACGAAACAACGATGTCTACAAAAAGATCTATGAAATGGCGATGGAGGATGGCATTCGTGTGAATGACACATGTGAAGGACTCCAACTGGTTCACCGGTACAGACATTACGCGTTTATAAACGATCGTTATTTGCTGCAAACTGAAATGCCCATGTGTGGTGATGATTTTATTGTTCTGGACGAAAAAATTGACGAATCACCGGCGAGTTTTGCTGTCCAAAAGCATGCACCATACGCAGATATCTTCACTCTCTAGTAAGTTTATATTAAATCATCAGTATTTTCGTCACGGAAAACCTATCGTAACTTTTCCGTTCGATCTTCGCAAGTGTTTTGCTATTTTGAACCAATTCAGTTTTCATACTTCTAGTTGATTTCCCATCTTTGTGGTACAGGTCTTGTTCGCACTATCTTCACCCGCCGACTAATTACCTGCGAAATTCATTCACATGGATGAAATGGATGCCGTAAATCGATTACTGATACTTGTACATTAATTTACCTTCAGGTAGGCCCGACCCCACTACTGAGAAAAACTGGTATTGACCTCACTGCTACCGGAGGCCAAAATTTCTGGTCTTGCTCTCTCAATAACTCTTGTCCATACAAAATTCTACGGTTTTTGTGTCGTTTTGATGACCATGTGCTGATTATTCTCGCAGGTTTCGACTAAGGGTTGCAACGTTTATCAAAATTACTCATCTCTTACTCTGTGAACTCTCAAAATACGATAGCTCTTTGGGAGAGGGAAATGCTCGAGAAGAAGGGCTTTTTTTATATCCCTCCTGGAGATGGTCCAAATTCCAGATTTCGCACTGAATCTGGACAAATTTGAAGAGCTGTTGTGGCCATCTGCGACCATCAGCTTTTAAAAGATGGCCTAATCATTAAAAGGTAGGTAAATTGTCTATAATATTGTTCGAATGGATGCATCCACACGTGTTTATGCTCATAACGCAACATCAGAGGAGTAACTCATATGTCTTGATTGGAACGCCTGTATCCAACAGGTTTTATGCATTGATTTGGGTCTTTTTAATCGGACAGCAACTATGGTGTTCACTAAAAACTGATAGGGAGTTATTACTTGGTTACTCATCGTTTTTTTTCTGGAGCCATTCTTACAAGATGAAATCTCTCTCAAAGATGAAGCTTTGGGAACGATGAGGCATACTAGTAGCTCAGGTGAAGTTGGCCGGTCTGTTCGATATGCTTGACCTGAGGAAGAGGAAATATCATCAGTGTTCCAACAAAAGGACACCAAGAAAACCAAATGTCCGCGGAAACTTTTGCGAAGCGCAAGTTAAGGAAGGCCGTAGCCAAAAAGAGGACCACTGCTGAGCAGACCTTATATGTGAGCGTCGTAAGTGACCAGAAAATGCTCTGAGGTCGGAGTGAGAGCGGTCCGTTGCTGCACAGAGCTCACAAGACGAAGTGGGTGTAAGGTTAAAGCTTTGAAATCATTGAGTCGCAAATATTCTCCCAGACATTAGGTTGCAGATGGTTCTTGGCAAAGATAAAGACACAAACCCGTACAACTCATCTAAGGTGCAACCACGGTGCCCCTGGATGGTTGAGATAGGTCTTTTTGAGCATCGGACGGATGGATGAAAATCGAACTTGAGCACTGTTTAATAAAGACATTATGTAAACGCCATCCTGTAGTGCTCAACCAGAAAAGGTTTCTTTATTTTAGCACGTAGTTGTCTCTGATCTCAGCACGTTTCCTACCCTTTCGGCACAAAAAATAATGTTTTGGGACTAGTAGCAAACATCGGCGGGTGGCCGTATTAGCGCTTCACGCTTCATATATCTCCTGGATCTATTGCGGGAGTCTTGGACGCACTTTATAACTGCCACAGCACCAGAAAAAGTAGTTAATCAGTACAGGTGGCGGCCCTAAACCTGCAGTTTTATCGTGTCATTCAGATCTAATCGAAGATTCAGATGTTCTGAGCCTTATATATCTGAACTCATTTTATAAAGTTTCATCATATCACTGTAGTACACGGGCGTTCATTCCTTGTCTACTTCCCGGACAATTTTACTCAGTTGACGAGCATTTCAAGCTTACATAACAAAGAAGTGCATCAGTGAGAAGAGTTACTCTGACCCATTATCAACACACCATCTCACCGAAGTTTGACTGGATGATCTATCGACAGAGTCAGCACATCCTGATGGTCCCAACCGCTCACCATTCACTCTTGGCTTGTTCACCCAGTGACTTGATTTCCTAGCGCTGGTGCACCAGAGTACACAAAAAATACTGAAAAATCCCTGCTAAATACAGGCTGATGAATCCATTCGGTTCTTAGAACTGTTTTCTCGTTTCTACTTGCCCACATCTGCATTATCGTCACAATATTCTCCCACTCCTTCATCATCTCAAAGTTTTTGGGATCTATACCAGAGAGGAATAATCGAACACTGGATTGAAAAATGGTTACCAAAAACGGAAGATCGAGTAACAAACGGAGCAGCGTATCGTCCCCTGAACGTGGAAGCAGTAAGTGGAGGCTTCGTACCGCTCGTTTGTGCTATGACATTAAGTCTACTCGCACTAACGCTTGAAATGATGTGGCATTACCACCGTTCTCACACTCATGTTGCGCCATTGAATACAAAATCAGCAAACGTGGACGATTCGGGTTCAAATGCAGTCAACAAGACCACTCACTGATTAGTTAAATATCTGAATTGCAATTTCGCTTCCCCACTTGACCCGTCAATATTTTTGATTCATCCATTGTCTATTCTTCATCACCAAGTTTTCCGCCTGTTTCTTCACTCAGTAAACAATATAAAACAAAACTGAAAAAGAAAACACCCCATAATAATTTTTAGAAAATAACGAATTGGCTCCAATGGGTGGACATTTCCACAGTGTTAACTTGGAATGCAAACAGTCACAGCTTCCTGAGCATAGTAGAACCGTTGTAAAGAGAGCACTGAAGGCGTCAACTGAACGTGAAATTTTTTTCTCAAGGAGTTTGCATTGAAAGAGTTAAGAATAGAAAAGTCTGGGAGCGCTCGGGAATTCCTCGTCCCAAAAGGCTGACCAAAGTCGGGAGTTATTTTCACATTTTGAGCCGTGAAACAATCTTCTTAGCTATGGAGAAATCAATTGGCTTGGATATCTCGCCAGGTGTCTGATACTTCAGGTAAGTTACTCAACAATTCTTAGACAACCGGCCGTCGGGTCACATCGGGTCGATAGATGATGGCCATCTGCTCTGTCTGTTATCTATCATTCATCATCCGGTTGACAGATAATCTAGTTCACGTCTACTTCGTGTTTGCCTGTTGTAATTTTGGAAGAATTGGGCTGCTTGACAGGCTGACAGGCTGTTATTCTGTTAAGTGTGTAAGGTATCGACAGCTACAACACAGAACAACTGATCCCGTCATTGTACAATCACTCATCGGGCAAGAAAACAAGCAGATGGGGCTACTTAAACCTTTGGTATAAAACTTGTTTGGCCTTTTTACAAAGAACATCTTTCTTGATTTGCTGTCATCAAAACATGCCTAAAAGACAAACCGCTCAATTATGATATTCACTTGGTGCTACACTAGCAGCAAGAAGCATGAGGCACTGCCGTTTCGTCGGAGCTCGCTGATGAGTGATTGATAATGGATGATAGTTCATAAATGATGCATTTATGAGAGAATGCTCACTGGCTTGTTTCATCGACGTTGGAAACTGAGCCAAAGACAATAGACCATGGTACGCGCGTCCAACGTAACAGCGCGATAAACATTCCATCATAGAGATCACTCGATAACAGAATAGAGCACCAGTTTACGACAAACGCTAACCTTGCTACATTGCACAGGCCATTAAGCATCAGATGATAGCCTGTTGACTTCCCAAAGTTGTCCCATGCAGGGTCTGTATATGGAGCTAATCCGGAACAGCTTTTTCCTACCCTTGTGATTGTATGACAGTATGTATATGGAATGCTCGATATGAGTCTGATTGGGCTGCCTCTGCGAATCGCCTCAAGCTACAGGATGCTAAACAACTTCCCTCTAGCGGTAGGATAACAGCAAGTTTGTTAAATCAGGTTCAGTTACTAGGATCTTCGTACACCAACTGGGATGAGTTCGCGTTTACGTTGATTTAGCCATCTCAAATATGCAAAATTGGCACTACTGACTGGTCAAATGTTACCGTAACAGTATCTGGGATGCTACATCAAGGCACTGTACCAAGATCAAAATGACCGGTCTTTCAACAATCAGTGACCTGCAGGATTCACTATCACCGATTCCGAAATAGACGGTTTCTTTGGCCTTCCACTGACTTCTTAGCAGGCTGCACGAATAGTGTGCGACATTGCAACTGGATGGAGATTCAACCTAATTCCAGGGTAAGCCGTTTCATTGGCTACCGGGGCATGTGCGTATATGCTGAAGTCGACACCTTAAGTTGTAGTGTGATCTAAAGGGCGTATAGCCCAAGAAAATGGTCACCGGTCCTCAGTACATTGCGGACTTAGTGAGCTTTGCCCAGTCATACTACGGGTGAGACTTCTCAGGTACCGGTTCTAACTAGAGTTTTTTTAACCCGGCAGTTTACTCCAACTAGCAAGTCAAATGGTATCTCGCCCTGAAACAATTCTCGGGCACATCCATTACCATCCATTACCATGAGCTCAAGTACTTTTCTTACACAATCTTCACTACCTCCAGCGAGTAAGCGATGACCACAAAACCGCATCTACTAAGAATCTACATACCGACTCTTTGTTTATTCAGAAATAGTACTGCATTCATGAAGCCATCTAGATCCCACGAAAAATGTGTAACTTCTCGTGATGTTTCCAGCCAGTTCTGTCCCGAGAAGAAAACCCCAATAGTTCTGTTTAGATTCACACTGTAACTTTACTAGCATACAACCTTTCAGTACAAAAGTACAAGCTCTATCAAAGAGGGTCTTTCGTTTTTTCAATAATTGTCCACTTTTAAGTTCCACCGGTATCGAGTGCCTCCATCCTGTCTCCGAAGAGCCACAAATTGACATATTTCCCTCCTGTAATAAACAGTATACTGGTCCATTGTTTATTAAATCCCCCAGAGGTTTTAAAAAAATTTAAAAAAATCAAACGAACCAAAGGGGAACAAATGAGTAATTCACGAAAAGATGTCTATGCCCATCATATAAACCAAGCGGGAAATTCGCGCTCTTCTTATGACTGAAATTTAGTCCAGCAGAAGTCCGAACGACTGCTCTGCTCTTTCTTCTGCTCGTTCCATTGTTCCAAGTCCCAAGTAAGTGAAAGAACTACAAAAGGATGGTCTCCGCATCACAATCCTCCAGGATGATCCCAACAGCTACGCTATAAAACGGGATTTTCTTTTGCAGCTTTGATTCGTGAGAACATAAGTCAGCGTCCGTAGAAAAGATTCCTGTAGTGTTTCCTACCACCGAGAGGATCTGGGATTAATGCGTTAAGGACTAACGCATCATATATAAACTATGTGGGAGCAATGTATTCTCCCGCAAACAACAACCTCAAACGACCTTTCTGATCCGGTCCAATCTCAGTGATTTACTGGCAGAATCACAGTTATTGAGGCTTACCTGACATGAGAGGTAACTGGCCCACCACAATCTAGTGATTTCGCCTCTCCCTTAAATTCGACTTCCTATTTTTGGATTTAATCTCTAGTAAATTTCACACGATTCTACTCAGCGTAGACATAGCAGTGTTGTCAGTCCATAGCTCATGCTGTAGACAACATATTCAAAAGCTTCCTAACAGAACTAGTAGACTGTACCATGGTTGTCCTTATCTCAAGTAGTTGAGTAAACCACTATTGTTTGTAACAAGATGATACAAGCATCTGTAGATCACCCAACCGAGACATTACGCACAAGAAGACCTAATAGACTAACTGACAATGGACTCGGATACGACCAGATCCAATCAAGACCAATATAAAGGCATCAAAGTTGTTAAGCTATGAGGCCAGCATCAAACTGCGGGCACAATTTGTGCAAATCACCAAGGATTGGAAAGAAGCGAGTTCACCACTGTAGCATGTATCACAGAAATAACGATCGTTTGTTCTGATCACTAAGGTAGGGAACTTCGTTTAACCCGACGAAAACTTTTTTTGCTATTTGATTTCAACAATGAAGACAATCATTCAGGATGGCATGTATAGCAAACGTTGTGCGCGAGCAGTCAAAATTACCGCATCGATTATTTCTGGTCACGTAAGATGCTCTGTTTTGGAGAAACCCGCTAACAAACCTATTTTCGTTCTGCAAGTTTGCCTACCTTCTTGGAGTTCCTTTTTGTCACCACTCGAAGATTGATCGTCGGTGTCCAGATGAGTTGGTTTTTGAGGATGGAAAAACGCTGAACCACAGTTCGATGAATTGAACTGAATCAACTGAGGCCTAAATCTGCATGATTTCATACCCGCACTTTGATACACTTTGATCAACAGACCCGTTTGAAACTTCGAAACAGTGAACATCAGTATACTTTTATGGAGATGGAATCTGGATAGCGTAAGCCGCATCAACTGTTCTTTTGTACGCATTCTGAAAAATTTAGATACCAAAGATTTAGCTGGTGTTGATTGAGCCTATGATGGATCAGTCAGTTTCTATCTCGGTAAGTGGGCCAAACTGTGCAATAAGATCTTTTGAAATGAAGAAGCATGTACTCTTCTTGAAACCACTATTTATGGTCCGTTAGTCCCGCTGTGAACTGGAACAAGAAGTTGCTAACAGTTACATAAGCTTCTCAGAAGCAATGGTCATCATTAAAATAGGAGCCTTAATGTTCTTTCAGCGCGCATTTGAGCACTCCTCACGAGCAGTCTGGCTGGCTTGGAAAGAAGCGGGTCCGTTTTCAGGGGAACATGTGTATTAAATCACTAGCCCAAGTAAGGCTTTGAACAACCGTCGTCAAGTTCTAAACGACCGAACAACCCTATCCACAACGATGGGACGGGGTCTCGAAGTTGCAAATTACTTTGTGCAACTTCTCTTCCACACAAAAGTCAGTCTGATAAAATACGGCATACAGTGGATCCTCTCAAAATTCGAGACTGCTGACTGTTTCTATACTCATGCCTTACAGACAATATCATTGTGTGGAAGTAGAACAAGGTCAATCCGCGCCGGAAGCCTCTGAAAGAACAGTCTTAGATAATCAGTGTCTGCGCTGAGACGCTGATCCTTGGTGGAAACATTGGATAGCAAAGTATCCTATGGGGCCCTCTGTCTAAAAAAATCCACGTTAGATTGTCTTTCCTGGTATTAACAAGAGATTTGGAAATTGTGACCAAGATTTCGTCCTGCAAGTGGAGTCAGCCTATGCCAAAAAGCCGAGAAACACCGTAGAGCTGTTACATCCTTATTGAAAACAATGAGCAGCTCGCATCTCACGAATCTCGCAGAGAATTCGAACCTGTAGCCTTGAGGCCAATAGGCGAAGACTAAGCCATTCAGCAACGGGCAGCTGATCAGGAGCTAATCGCTAATAGGGTCACACATCTTTCACTCACGAAACTCACATCAGTGGTCACTGGCTACGTGAGTGAAGGATGCCCGGATCTCACTATTGAACGAGTGACGTAATAACATGTTTAGACACGAAGTCCTCACAATATGGATCAGCCGGTCGTGGTGGGGAGATTACAAGTTCCATTTGTGAGATGCGCACCGCCGATGATTCCCAATTAGGATGGAACAACTGTACAGTGCTTCTCGGCTTTTTGATATCGACTAGTCTCACTTGGACGACTAGATTTCGATTGCAGACAGAGTTTTCTCACATTTGCATCTGAGTCACGTGCTGTGGACACAAAGCTATACCGGACTTCGTTCCAACTCAACAAAACAGCGCAGAAGATTTGTCTTGCGCGTTAGAAGTCGGAAAATGTCCAAACGGAATGAAACGAGTATGTGTGAACAATAATGAAAGACACCCCATCATTCTGTAGCCTTTCCCTGCTGAAAAAACAGCATAGTGTCCCCCGCAAGCATGCATAGGACAAATTGTTTTCTCAAGTTACCAGTAAACTTGTCTAAATTTCGATAGATTGGCTGGACGGGCTGACCAAAACTGGTCTCTACTGAGCGGTGATCCTTTAAAACAGGAAAACTTTTTCTACCTTCATTTACCGTAATTTGTCGGGTACACCGCGTCACAATTGAGATTCAATTCAGTAATCTCCTGAAAAAAGCCGTCATGGGAAAAGATCATTTGATCTCGTTTGGAGAACAGGTGATCTGTCTTGGTCGCGCGTGTGTGTACGCAAATAATGTTCGATCCAAAATTAGTGTGTCAGGTAACCTGAAAGCATATAGAAAATTGAATATTATTCGGCAGCATTGTGACTGCATTTCCCCACACACCAGTAGCTCATAACTCGAGATAAATTCCTAAAACCTTCAACTAAATTCAAAGCTGCTGCTTCACAGCGAACACGTTAATAACTAGATGACCTAGATAGATTCTGTTCACGTTATTTCACGTGATCTCTCAAGGCCGACCTTTAGTCGCATTCGAAGTCCCCTTGGTAAAACCGATTTAGTATTGTTAACCTACTAATATCGAGTGGTGCAGGATCCCACAAAGTCGCCCGAATCACAGGAGCAGTGGAATCAAATTAATCCTGCGAAGGAATTTTAATGTTGATCACTGTGACTTGGAGCAGAATTCAACGTCTAGGCAGTAGTAAAAATCCTGATTTTGGAATGCATATATCTTATAGCCAGGTTCCCTAAACTTAATAGTGTTCAACCGGTTTTAATCAATCCGTTCTTTAACGAACTCATAACTCTTAGAATTGCCATGCGTTACGCTGAGACATGTACCTTTCGATGAACGGTGGGTAATATGGTTTCTTGGAGAGCAAATTAGGATTCTTGTGGGACGAAGCCATCTATCTAGGGGAGGTTGGAGGTAGCTCCATAAGTCCTATGTAAATCGTGCGGTGAATGCTCATCACGGACCCTATTGAAGGGGCTGCTCGCTGGTAAAGTGCTTCTCCGAAAACAACATGCTCTCAAGAACGGGGCCAGGCTAGACTATTTTGCACTATGAGATATAGACTACCTCCCAAATGAACTACTTCCAAGGAGAAAGTAGCCTGGTCACAAGGCTGAAAAGCATTTTTTGTACAAACTCTGAGGACTTCCAGAAGGGTATCCGTGAATGATATCCTTGGATGCTAATGACACAAGGAACGCCAGTGAATGGATACAGAGGCGCATTTTACAACAAGACATTCACAACAACACTACTCGTGACGGGAATGACCAAGCCCACTAAAGTAACAGTGTGAAATTTATGTACGCACATGAATACATACTCGATGGAAAATCGCTCACCTCATGGTTCATAGCCGCAAACCTAAACTGAAGCATATCAGACGCACCTTCTACCTAAGCCGGAAGGGACGCCGTCCACCTCAACACCATGTGGTATTACTTTGAGTAAAACCGGACCATACAAAGATATCGATGATAAGTCCGTGTCTGACTTTGAACTGCACACATGTTTCATTCGTTTCGAATACACTAACCGGTCCGCGTGGCCATTAATGGACTAGACAATTTCGCAAAAGCGAAACCACAGCCAGTCAAACAAAATCGAATGCTGAGAGCGTTCTGTTTTGCACTATGTTCTCTGACAAACATTGAAGCACCGCTACGCCCAACTGAGCCCCTACCAACGCACTGATGATGTCACATCAATTGGTGATGAAGCATTTGCCATGAAACGGTTACACCTGAGCTACCGAAATTCTCCTCAATAGCCAGTGTTCCTTGAATGTTTTCTCATAGCTGAAAGGATCTAATTCTTACCTTTATGTCAGATCCGCTCGCAAAACGACTGAAGACGATAACATCTGTTTGTTTTTCCTGTTTTGTGTTCTCTAGGAGACAATATCAGTCCTATTTCCGGTAAACTGGGGTATCAACTTACAGTCAACATCAGTTAACTTCTACTTTGATCGTACACAAAAATGCTACAAAGGTACAGCTTAAAGCCTGTCCTCCTAGAGACACACGGAGATTTTAAGCCTTCCCGAGATTCGGCGTTTTTCAGGAGGAACACTTTATACGTAGACCTAATCTTATGAGACAAAAGGTGGCGTATTCTGCCTTTTTCCTCTCACACAGTGACCAGATCAGTACGCACTCCCAACTGGAGCTAAAATCACAAAGGCTGAATATAGAGTAACAATCGCTTAAATTTTGGAAAGCAATCAAATAAAATTTCGAATCAATACACCAGGAAGAAGGAACTGTAATGCTTCGAAACACATTATTACAAAGCTTGCAAGTTCAGTAGACAAAAAGATGTTGTTATTGTTGTTGTTTGTAATGAACACTCATGAATTTTCGGCACAAAAAACAACGAAAACCATTGTAGTGTGATAAAGTCAGTAGAACAGGGTCACAAATAGCACAAGCATTGGACGAAAAGCATAAAATAGGCTATCAAATAATGAGTGCGGGTACATGTGCAACAATGTTGGATAGACATGTACGTGGTAGAAGAGAAACCAAAAAATAAAAGCAACCAGCAGCAAGCTTTACAATCGAAAAACAAAACCAAAAATCCTTGAAAATCAAAACAAATATTGGAAAATCGTCGGTGTTTTGGTTGATTAAAACGTGTGGCAAATAACAATAATTGTACCAAGAAGCAGCGGGAAATATACGGGAGAAAGGGAACAGGAAAACTGATGGATAAATAAACCAGTGGATGATGTGGTGCATTCTCGTAAAAGTAGCTAGCTCGAACAATAACAACATCGTCGAAATTGAAATACCTATTCGAGGTCATCGAAATTTGAACGACATGCCGACATCGTGGAGTCAAAAATTTGTAACGTTATGAAAGCTGTATCGAAATTCGCGTCCAAAAGCGCCGCTAGTGTCTAAAGGTGAAATGAAATCAGTTCCAAACTTTCAACACATGTCAGAAAAAGTTTCAGGATGGGCGCGTTGATTACTTGCTTATCGGATGAAACCAGGTGAATACGAAAATCGTGGGTATTGACAACATTCTGCGCCGACTAGATTCTGCTGAAGAAAAGTGTTTAGGTCTAAGCGAAACAAGGAGATTGTGGATAACAAGAATGATCCAGAATCCGACAAACTTAGGCTTCGCTAACCGATACATCCAGATCCTCGTTCGCCGGATGTTCGATCGAATATTTCAAGGTCAGTTCTTTTGTTTCACCTGTGGGGAGGAAGTCAATGAGGGGTTAATCGATACAAAGGGTAGAAAATAGAAAATAAAGATATATGAGAAACGTTGTTTTGTTGGGTAATTACTTCCTAAAACCTACTGTTCGAAAGTGGCCCAAACTGCGTCAACAAAGTTCCACTTGTTACGAACGAGCTTATTGAGCATCCAGTTTTTTGTCAGGTCAGGATTTATCAAAAACGGAACTGACCGAAACTGCGATGCACTCTGATGAAACTTTGACCAGATGGAATGCTCCGTTCACTAGTGATTTCCATTAGCGTGTTACCAGCCCAAATCAGAGCATCTTTCAGACATCAACTAACGGAAGACAGGGTTACCAGTTTGTCTGATTCTTAGCGCCGTCTAGGCTTACCGGTCCACTCTGGATGGAATCCACCAGGAACTTCAGTTTTTTCACATCAGTTAACTGAATCACTAATCCACCGACGATGTCTCCTCGATTGCTGGTGGAGTGTTTGAAATTTATTCGTCAAGTTCCGGGAATAGATGGACAATCAAGCAGCACACTCGGGTCATTCATAGCCACAACACCGGTAGCATCATCTGACTGCTAGGAGAAGTTCGAATACCCTAATAAATACTTTGAAAGGGCGTGAGCACAGTTTATAGCCATCCGACGAAATCCACGTCAAAATTGGACGTTAAAAGTAGGGGTAGCCAACAGGTCACCTTTGTAAGTACACCACTTTGCCTAACACAGTCGTATACGCATAGCAAACAATAGCGTCGGTGGCTCGTCAGGTGAGCGACGCCGGTGATTCTAATAAAGATGGGACAGCTGTACAGTGCTTCTCGGCTTTTCGGCAATAATTTGGTTTCATTTACAGGACAAAATCTCGACTGAATTTCCCAGATCTCCTCATAAAACCAATTAACTTTAAGTAACTCAGAAGAAGGGAAAATTCACGAGCTGCATGAGAAGTCGTCACTCAATAATCTAGTCCTCAAGTGACCACGTGATACGAATTCCGTGAGTGAAAGATCAGTAGCGCTTTAACCTAATTACGATTTAATCACACCACTAATCAGCCGCTCGTGTTCAACTACTAGTTGGAAGGTGGCGGGCTCGAATCTTCCCCTGACAATTAGTGAGATGCAAACTGCTGCTAATTCTCAATAAGGACAAAACAGCTCTACGGCGCTTCTCGGATCTTCGGCATGGATTGGCTTCACTCCCAGGACGAAATCCCGATTAAATATTGTATTTCACTGTCTCGTCCAAATATTGCAGCTGAAGACAATGCTCAGTTTCTCTCACGCTATGTCGTGTACCACGAAACGAAAACTGTTTACGCCTGAGCATTTTTTAAGGCGACAGGGAGTGGACAATAGTTACCTGCTCAGATTTCTGTCAAGCAAAAGCGCAACGTCGTGCCATATTTGACATTGATCTATAAAAAATGCACAGTTGGAAATGTGCCAGGATATTGGTGGCTCGGGTGCGTTCAATCGTGGTTGGTCAGGTGGCCGTTGATCTTTTTGTAGAGCTGAACAGATAGTTCGAAAAGGTCTCGTCAAGGTGACATCATCATTTCGCAATCCGGTGGCTGATTCCTACTTAACTGCTTGAATTATTACGTTTTTGAAGACTAGGTGGTATCTGTGGCTGCGTTTGGATGACTGAAACAACGTTTCTCAGAAGCCCACTGGCCCGTTTCGAATTTTGTTTCACTGTGGTCTGCATTCCTTGCATCCGATTGGTGGGCTGAGTAGCTTCTGCCGAGGACTTTTTTCCTTCGAAGAACGAAAACACACCACGTTCTGCGGTCATAAGTTTGTGCAGTCAGTCCGACTCACATTTAGTCACCCCCACCCATACATATTACACCCAGCCTTACTGGTAGTGGTGTACCGTGGTGACCATGGCCTCCAGCTGCGATAGTTTGACATACCAATGGGATTCAGAAACTTCGTGGTTCCATTTTGTTTTCCGTGTACAATTGTATTAACAAAACTGGAGGACTGTGGAAAATAGAATATTCACATATCTGTCTTTCCCCGAACTGTGTTAACCCCATGGACCGAAGCTCGTCTTTCGAACGTAGTATGATCAGCTCTGTGATCACAGGACGGCAAAAACCAACACCGCCCATGCTTGGGTTCTTAAAACCAAAGATCGCTCCTTTATTAGGTTTGTTAAGTGATAAGGCTGAGTAATACAGACCTTGAACTTTGAATCTTAGCCTCGGGCTTCTCACACGCCTGAAAGGTCTCAGCTACGGTGGTGTGGGTTGCGCTTTTGCAGCCAGGAAACATCACAAACCAGAGATTCAGGTGGGTTCCAGGTGAGTTCCCCGCAAAACCAAATTAGATTGCAGATGAGTGTAGTTCACAGGTCACACCTACTTTGTGGTTATTACTTGTAAGTTCCGAATTCAGCCCTACTGGAGTGTCCACGAAGATGCTGAAGAAATGGGAGACATCATACTGGCCGTTCGCAAACAGTCAGAGTCAATTATTCCAAACAACCCATCACACCTATCACACCAGTTGCAAAGAATTTGGATGAAAAGAAAAGCTGCTTTTCGTTTTGCCACACCGGTTCAACTGCGAAATGTCGCTGAATTCGCCAAAGTATAAAGCATTTGAGTTATTAAATAGAAATGAGCGAAAAATTATGAGGCGAACTGATCTGAATACAGGGGGGAGAATAATCGAATGCAATTTCAATTTACCAGGACCCAGGTCGAGATCCCATTCAACATTGTTCGATTTGTTCATCCGAATTGGCTTGTTCCTGTCGTATTTCTCTGGATGTTTGATGACTGGCTCCAACAGATTAATCTGCAATGCAAAAGTTCGTTGCGACTAACAGACTATTATTAGGGATAATCACTTCCATGACCAAAAATCAAAGCGAGAATCAATAGACAGGTAATCAAAAACACATCAGCGACCTACTGCCTACGATAGACATCAAATAAGCCTGGCTGTTTTTCCCTCACGCTTTGTGGCGCCTTGATTAGTGAATTAGCTGGAGTGAAGAATGACACCTTTGGACTATCTGCCTCCTATAACGAAAAAAGTTGGTCGTTAACCAATGAGCTGTGTAGAAAGAAATTAGAGCTATGCTGTTATATTACATACAACCCTCTGAGGAGAGGTCATATCTCAGTACACAGTAAGTATGGGTATACCCATACTGGCTTAATGATTCGAGTGGTTTATGAAATAATGGATTAATTTGTCCTGGTCTCGGAACGACTCCTGTAGGTAGTCCAACCAAATAACATTTAGTTAGGACTACTTCCTGATTCTCATTTATAATTACAAAAATGGTAAGTTACTAAATAGCAAATAGAAACGGACAGAAACTTCAAATTCGATTATTTATTCGTTTGTTAAAGTCATTCCATGGTACCTTGATTTTATCTTCGCAACTCAGTGGGACTTGATCCATGACCATCAGGCGGATGGGGCGGTCGAACGTGTTGCGTACTTCAATCAGTTGTTTGAACGTCAATGTTGCGTGTTTGCTGTTTGACCCAGCAGATTCGCGGTATTTGAACAGAGGTCGGTAACAAACTTTGATTCCCTGCTCTGCTCCCAAATTGCAGCTGAATTCTTCACCTTGCGCGACCGCCGGAATTTCGGACTGGGTGGAGAATAAGATTTGATTTATTGCGTGTGTTAGGAAGAAGGCCGCAGTACGGTTTGGGTCTTAGCTAATCAATTTATCAAAAGATATTCCTTCAAAGCCATGTTTAAGAAGTCCAGTGAAAGCCGCCGAGATATTGTATCATGCAAAACCGTTTGGTCCCCTGTCGGCATATGGCTGTCACACAACCCACAGAAAGTGTGTGCTTGAGAACGGGTGGTCTGAGCTAACATGAGCAATCAAACAGTAACAAGTGAACTTCGGAGCAGATCCTGTGGTCAGTAATTTGCAGCTAGTCATATAAATCCCACTAGTTCGCATTCAGTTGAAAACTAGGACTTTCCTGAGCACCCATTTTCAGGTTGGTGGTCGAATACAAAGGGAGACCCATGAAATTTTCAATGTGATAGGACTAAACAATGACGAAGTAGTTACATCCGCTCAACCCTGCGTAACAACAACCATGCTTTCCTGTTCTGACCTATTTGGTGTTGCTCGTGCGGCTTCTCAAAAAAGTGTTTAAAGGGTAGCGTGTGTAGATGTTCCACATCACCAAAGACCCGTGTATTTTCACGCCTAGTTTTCGATTTTCTGAGTTGCAAACCAGCAAAACAATTTTATCTCCAAATGGTTTTCTATTTTTTTAAGATCCTAACAATTTCGCTCACTTGAGAAACCGCGCTTTCCATGCTCTTTCATACCGATTAATATCGAATTATGATAACTGTGCTGGAATCCGTATAAAACCTATACTCCGCACGCTGTCACATAAACGGTAGTGTTAATTCTGGTTGCGACTAGAGTTCGGCTGACTACTGGACCATTTTATCAGCTGGTAAAGTGTCCGTGCGGGGAGTATGTACTACTGTGTGTACGATAAGAGAGGTCACTGGACTGTCCATTTGCAAATCGCGGTGCCCACGGAGCATGCTGGCTCCCAAAGTTATGGACTTTAGCTCATTGTTTTAGTTTTACATACACAGCAAACGGAAAACCACTTGCCAGTTTTCTCCAAACCCGTCGCAAGAAACACTAGTTCGCATGTAACCGCTACAGGACAATTTGTTTTATGGTATCGAACGACATATTCACCGCGGAAAGCTGCGTAAGATTGACTGAGAAATTATAATGAACCGGGGAATCCCAGTGCTACTATTTTATAGTTATTATCCAAGAAGCACCACAATCGTATATCAGACAAGGCTCAAGCACATTGGCACGCGAGCACAAGAGGTCATATGTTCGAATAAACAGTTGGATAATCGGACTGGGTTAATAGGCGAGCTCACTGAGGCTGACAGACCCACATGTAAAGGAGGGCTCAAGGATTCTGTTAGATCACCACCATTTAGCTACATTTGCCTCGTGTCTGACGAAAAGTTAGACAGCCACAAATTGGCTGGAAAAACAGGTCGAAATGCGGGGTGTTTCGATTTTTTTTCCGGAAAACTTCGTGTTTTACCCTGAGAAAGTACATTTTTGAGAAGTTCTGCTAAAACTTCGGTGGCGTGACAAACGCAGTTCCTTCCAAGGCAACGTGTAGACGGTTGATACAAGTCGGTGACGTCAGAGTTCACTAGACACGCAAAAATGAACGATGAGTTCTGATTACTACTACTGATCAGTGGCCTTTGTGCCACACAGGCAGTTCACTGCTACTTCGATAAAGGTAATTCTGTCTCGTTCCTCTGGATATGGACTATGTGTAAGCTGAACAACTCACAACAGAAAACGAAAAATGTTAGTCTATCCGACAAATCGAAAAACACTCAAGCAGTAAGAATACACTGAAAGTGTAATGTGACAAGCAGGGACACCGAAGCACTACTCACTTTCCCGATAAATGTATTATCCGCATAAATGTTTGTCTCGCCGGCCAAAATGGAGAAGTCACTTCTGTTGACAGCTGTGGCCTTCAAAAAGGCGTGTAGAGAACGCTTCGGCACAGTCACGTACTCATACCGTGGCTGTAAATCGAGTAGGCCAACGGTGACGCGAACTGGTTGATTGTCACAACGAACCAATCCTGGAGGACGTGGCACCTCCAGATGCACCGTAGGAATATTGGCTGAATTGCTTAGCTGTGTTGGGTTACTGGATTGCACAGCATTTGATCCAGTTCCCCGAGGTGGACAAAGCGGCGTTGGTGAGCTTGGAGCATGAAACAGCATGCTAGTACCAAGAGCTCGACGGGAATGCATTCGGCTTACTGAGCTTCGTGATGCTGACGACGATGGAGCGACTTCAGTACTGTGTCCACGTTGAAGTGTACCAGCTGGCGTTGGTGCATCGCGCTGATTTCAGAAAGGGGGTAAAACAAAACACATTACTTACAAATTTCACAGAAAACATGGTAAACACTCAGACAGGACGTAGTGATAACGCCAGAATTATCTTAACCGAGACCCATGCACTGAATAACTCAAGTGTGCGAGGCTGCAAACACTGTTAACTGATATGTTTTGTCAGTTCACTGATGATACCCTGGAAAGATGTGGACGGATGGTATTGACTGGAAGCTCTGGAAGCGCTTCTTTGGAGCCAAGAACAATGGAGACTGTTTAGGGACTCTTACATGAGTTCAAAAAATCCAATTAGAGTTTGACAGGGAGTGATGCGCTTAAGCGTTGTTTTGCTCATGACCTAAGGGAACCAAGGAGCCTATGTTCATTAATTCCCTTGTGAGTTGACATTCAGTTTTGCCGTTTCGAGATGTCCCATCTGGGTGAAAATGCCGGTGCTTGCAAAGGAACATATTGAATGGCACAGTCAGATGTCCTAACACCGAGGGGCGTTATATTCCATTCAAATCATCCTACTAAAATTTTGACAGTAGTGTAGTTGGGCTGTCACACTGACAGCCCATTTGCTGCAAATTGCTAGATCTGAACAAGTCGTGGGTGTGATGAGGTTCAATGGGTGATTCTACTCCTCCAGCTGTCTGTTGTAAATATGAACCAATAAAACACATGACGAAAAAACATGGCATTAGCAACCTTGAGTTCCCCATCTATCGTAAAAGTCCACTGATGTTTTGGTCGACAACTGTCTTGTTTCAGAGGCGAACGTTGGTCAAAACAGTGGTTTCTTGTTCTTTATCTACTTACTGTTCAACACGCTGGGAAGTTTCAAGAACAGACCGTCGAACATGCCGTCCAAACCCAGGAGTTTCCGCACTGACTTTCATCTATTGCCTCACCAACTACCTGAGAGCGATTCCAGATTTGTGATGTGTCTGCAAATCTTGATCTACAGACATATCAGTTTCCGCACAATATGGAATCTGTTCATTATGAATACGAGGAAAACGCCATATGACCGAAAGTTTTTGGCTTTTCCGGGTAAAGCAGCCTCTTGTCGGAAGATTTAACACACTGTGTGTTGCTTGTTGTAACTACGATTGATTCAATTATCCCATCTGCTGTATCAGCATTCAATACGACGCGAGGAACTGTGCTATCGATCAGACGAGTTTGCCAGCACAGACTATGCCTAGACTTAGGAAATTGTCACAGACCTAGTGTGGATCACAACCCGAAAGAATACGGATACTTTGTTTTTTATTCTAACCCAGCTTACTCGACGCAGCCGTACTCACCTCAATATCACTGAGGATACGATCTGCTTCGTGGAAACTGGTGGTTGTCTGACGTGCGGACTTCCTGAATCCACTCACCTTTGAAGTACTTCGAGGTCGAGTTGTCATTGTGCCATAGCTAACAGAGGGTGGTGGTAGCTGTGCAACCGTGTTCGTCAATGGCGGTTTAGTGGGTGTGGCCGGAGAAGGACTATACAAGGTAAGAGGCGAGAACCAACGGAGAAGCATTGTAGCACGGCTGAGGAAAAAATTAACAACAGCAATGAAAATTGCTTAGGTTTCAGAAATCTAAATTTGCTCAACTATATGTTGCTGCCTTGATTGATGATTTTGGGACTGGATGGAAAGACAAGGAGAGGGATGCAGTCCAACGCCACGTCACCAATAGTGGGCTGATTTCTTGTGCGAAGATACTAGAAGCCTCATTAGGGACCTCAAAGACAATAAAGCTTGGACTTCAGTTGCCATCATATCTGTCAGCTATGGTACAACTAGAACAGCTGTGAGCAGAGAGCGGTGTTTCACATGCCTATTTGGCCATTTGGCTATTTGGCGTAAAATATGAGCGATCAGATTAACTGAGCTGTCTCAAACTTGATAATCTTGTCTCAGATTCGTACGCTTGTTCATCGAGGCTCATGCACAGCACAGTATACAAGATTTTGATCGATGTGTAAACAGCGATGCCGTCCATATCGATATGGTCGTGTGCACACCCAATTGTGTTATGCGAGTTCATGTCAAAAAATCTGTTTTATTCGATTGCGTCGTGTGTAAAAACAAAACATTCCTTATGAAGTTCTCCATGTCGACGTGTGGTGCTAATGTCAACGTGATGTTTCGACAATTTTCAGATGGTCTGAGTGGAATCATGAAACACCCGTACAGTTACGTAGAAAACCGAATTCACTAGGGGTATCTATATTATGGCATGAAGCATGAGGTGTTGTGGAAACGTGTGTTGGCACCCTAAACTGTCAGCAAGTCAGATTACTGTTAGAAAACTTTGAAGTTTCCGTACGAATGAATTTACCTCACATTATTACTGCCTTGAAATGCAGATGGTTCGGTTCAGGGTCCTCCAATACTGTAGATCTAGGTAGACGCACACACGCACACTCTTCTACATGCTCAGTGGTTAGTAGTTAGCCTGCTGCAGTTGTGTCCAGCGCTGGTCCTCTCTGTGTCTCGTCACTTTCGTGCTCCCACCAGCTTTGCGATCCTGTCACACATTTCTATGATCTTAAATGCATGCTGTGGGTGTACTGAAGTGTTAGTTACTAGTCTACATCACCCAGAATAAATTTTGATTACAGGAGACCTGACAGAAAAACTTTTTCCCGCCAGGAGAGATGTATGACTTAGGTTTAAGAATTTAATCCGGATACATTGAGAAATGTATCGGAACTTCTTAACAAGGAAAACACATAGTGCATTGTTATCTGTAGTCAAAAAAAACGGCAGGCAGTTAATTTGGACATTATGTGCCATAATGTTATCGTTTGGTCTAACTACAAAAAAGGAATCCGGGCCAATAAAAAGGATCGATCGACTTCGTACAATGTGGGTTCCACATTCTGAAATAAGTGTTACGAGTGGACTGTTCAAAATTCGCAGACACTTCATTACAGGTTCCGCCCTGTTTGAAACTCATCAGGTAGGTCGAGAGAAGCTGAGAGAAACAGTACCTGACTTAGAAAACAGTTTGATCGAATGTTTACTTCCGATGCCAAAAGCACGATGAAACTGCTGAATCTGGGGACTCGATGTGGTCTCTTGTAGTGAATGATGGGTGAATATTTTTTCGCATACTGTGTAGCACACAGGCTATCTCAAATTTCCACTATGAAGATATCCAATGAACTAGTATGGAACAACTGTCCCACTTTCTCTCGCATTGTCATAGGTGAACAAAGTCATCTGAACCGTCTACGTCCCACCTTTGTCATCACATGCATGATCCCATAACGCACGCCCTTTTGCCAAAGATCCTGAATTTCAAGAGCGTTCAAGTCAACCAGGCCCAGCTTGTACGTTTCAAGCGCGGATGACTTCGTGACATGGCGCTTCTCGAGTGAAGCTCGATAGGACTTCAGTATCGTTTCACACCCCCATCAGCACGTAACACGAAGTCCTAGGAGTACTGCACGCACAAAAACAGAATTAATCGTGGACGAGAGCGAAGAAAACCCTAGCAGCGGTAAAACAATGCCGGCTGTCTTGCTATGACGAGGACGTTGGTTTTATGCTACACCACATTCATTCATTATCGAATGTTTGGGTTAGTGGACCGGAAAGAAGGTCTGACAGAAGTTTTATGGTTGATAAATGCAGAGTAGACGCTTTACCGAATTAGACATCAAAGAGAGAACAGTTTGATTCCAGTCACCAATGGGATCACAGAGATATCACCGTGAGAGACAGTGGTGAGGGTTTGCTGGTCGGTGTAAGGTTTTGATCGATAACAACGAGCCAACGGTGTGGTAAAACGATGCAGCTATCACACTGTATTAGTTCGTACGCTCGATTGGTGATGCAGCTACAAAACTTCATGATTAGCTTTTTTCTGTATTCAGTATTCCTTGCTTTTTTCTACACAAAATTGAGAAAAATCATAAAAGGCTGAAAAAGCGCCAGGTGTATCACGTGTAACCAACAGAATGGGATGTAACAGTTCAAATAATCGAAGCGCCAGATTATCAAAAGTCGATTCGAACGAAGTTCGTTTTTCGGGTTACCAGTACACGTCCACTAATCCCAGCCTATTGCACATGCAACTATCTTCCGTCCTTACTGTGATCGTCTTGTGTTTACACTCACCATTCTCCTAACCCACTCAAGTTTCGCACTGATCTGATGACCTGATGAGCTGAGGGTCAATAAGCTCCCGGACTGACTTCGAGAAATACACTCATTTGCAAATCAATTTGGTTTTCACGAGAGACTCAACTGAATCTCTCGTTTATGATATGTGAGTTGTTTCCTTTATGAGAATATACTGCGATGTCTCGAATATCGTGAAAACTGAATCATGGGGCGGCCTGTGTGCAGCACTTTCAGTTGTAGAATATCATAAACGAGAGATTCACTTGGGTCTCTCACGAAAAACAAATTGACTTGCAAATGAGTGTATTTCTCGAAAACAGTGCAACTTGGGTTAAAGTAGATCATAAGGTTGACGGAAACTCGGGGACTGCGCCTACCTGATGAGCCCCAAGAAGGGCGAAACCGGTCGTGGGCTGTCGAAGAGTTTTCAGCAACCTTGTGAGTAGTCTCCTTTATGAAAATAGTCACTGACTTGTTTACAAAGCCTTTTTGGAAGTTACCAGTACCAACGAATACCGGTAAGACTCTGCCTAAATTTGTATCCCTGTCACTAAATTCGGATATCTTCCATGGATTTATGCGTAGGATACAGAACAGAGTTGTCGACATGGGATCAACCTATAATGCTGCTGTGTCGGTGGTTTGTTAGTTACGCTGTCGACTGCTTTGATTAGGCCTGGTCCAAGCAGGATAAGAGTAGGCATTGTCTGTCATGTTAGAAGAATTCTTTGGTCCTAAAAAAGCACACAAGTGACAAATTCTATGTTTGAGCTACAAGAGCCTGTAGTACGTATTGCGTTCTACAAAAAAGAGAAGAGAGATAGCAGTGGATATCCCCTGCGAATGAGACAAAAATGATACAATTTGACATGAGCGCGTGACTTTCGTGGATAGTGACCTGAGAATTGATAACATTTAAAAACTAAACTTACTCTTTTTTAAAATGTACTCTTTGTAATCCCAATGGAGGGACAGTTCCACCAGTGCCAGGCAAGGTAGTAGATAAGGCCATGGATCGCGTTTCCCAGTTTTCACCAGTGGCTTGCTGAACCATGCCGTAGTAGACAATCTGAAGTTTCGGATGCGTTTGTTGTTTAATACAAGGCGAAACTGTCGAGATAAATTCAGGGACAGCAAGATGTCTAACGCGGTCGCTTACTCAGTAAACCAGAGTAACTGGAATAGCACATCGATTCGTGTTTTATCGGCATGACATACTGCTCTCCGATAGCCTACTGCGGGTTTCGCCCTTCTTTAGGCTCATCAGGTAGGACACAAGAAGAAAACTGGTAGTGAGTCGTCGGAACCCTCAACAGCCTTATGAGAGTTTCGCCCTCTTTAGGCTCATCAGGTAGGACACAAGAAGAAAACTGGTAGTGAGTCGTCGGAACCCTCAACAGCCTTATGAGAATTGTGTCATGCCGAGTCTCGAGTGCATTGCCAGTTAAAACAAGAGGCGGATTTTTATGCAGGACATTCGCTTGAACATAAAAAACGAGAGACTCAGATGATTCTTGTCTTGACAGTCAGTTACCTGCAGGTTGAGTTCGAGTAGAACATAAATGTGAAGGAAATTCGGGAATTGTGCATAAATAAAAAGTCCCAAGAAGAGCGAAACCGATAGTAGCCTGTCAATCAGTAACGGTACGTTGTGTCCAGACAGTACACTTCGATATCTCGAATATCATGCCAGTTAAAACATGAGGCTACTTTTGTTTGGTACATTCATTTGAGAAATGCCCCGGACGATGCTTTCATTTGAGTCTTCGGTTAGCACAAATACAACCTGAAACTGAGAGCACATCGCCAAAATCGGGATATGGTTTGATGTTGTTGTTGTGTCCTCAGCTAAGGAAAAATATTTAAAGGATCAAGTGGGTACTAAGTAAGATATGATGAGAATGAATTCCATCTGTACTTCAGCATTTCATTAACCCGTAGGGGAGGATGGACAATTGCACTCCCGATTCCGTGGTCCGGTTGACTGATAAACACAGTCGCGATATCCAACGGTCAGTGGGTATAAAAGTGGCTACAAAGTTTGCTGGGACTCACTCATTTCAATTACCATGAGACTAAAAGTTAGGTTGCTATATTTTCATTGCATGTCCAGTTGTCTTATTCATCAGAGGTGGCGTACTCACTCTGTGATTCCTGAGTCACTGGTCATCTTTATGCCGTAGCATCAGTAGGTCTCAAAACGAATGCCCTATTTGTGTTTTTCTAATAGGCTGGCGCTCACGTGCGTCTTCAGGCCGAATCCGGAGTAACTTCGCAAAGATCAGCCCTAAGCTGAGACTAACTTCCTCCTGGTCGAACTAACACTTCTGTGATGGACCATTTGTTCAAGGGATTAAACTGACACACCACATATATTAATGCAGATGGACTGTGATTAGCACTGTGTCAAAAATAACACTACGACCACAGCAAGGTATGCCCTGGGGAAAGCTAGTCCAAGCTTCGAGAATATGGTAGATGCATACATTACTTTATTTTACTGAAAGACGAGATAAAGAAAGAGGGTTATCAGGCCACACTAACCCCACAATAGAAACTAGCACTGATGAAGTAACTTACCCCCTATTCAGAGGGTGGGGGTTGTGAACTCAGTGCGAGTGGTCCGTCTGTGGAGGGGTACCCATGCATAAATAGTGATATACTTTGCAGGTCAGGCTACATGCCTTCGTGTATCAACGTACAAGTTCAGTGAAGCTCACTGCTTCTCCTGTTAAGACACCCCGGAATTTTTTTGAAAAAATTCTACTGGCCTGGCAATAGTCTTGGTGCTTCGACGGGATGGCATGGATGTGGTCGGATTGCGAGAAAAACAGCCACAAGAGCGGGACTGATCAGATCGATGGAGAAGTCACCTTAGTTAACAATTTCGGGGTCACGGCTTGCACCACAGCTGGCAAATCTGCTAAACGAGACACTTAGACCGGAGCAACTACTGGTTTAGTCAAGCAACCAACCAGTGAACCGTGATGACCTGGAATGCTCCATCTGATCCTCCACCGCAACATTTCCACGGGAAATACCGGATCATCTTAACATGTGGGTTGGAGTAACAAAATCATCATCATCATCATAATTAACGGAGGCAGTAGCATTTGTTGACACTCATGCTCCACTCCCATAAGGTTACTTTAATTATATTTAAAGCTGTAAAGTGGAAAGAAGAGGAGAGTAGATGACGGAGGGGTCTACGGCAGCGAAGCATCAGTGTTGACAACATGCTGTCAACGACGATGATGATATGATGATGATTATGGCGCAGAGATCTGGTGTTAGTCCACAACAAACACTCTGAGGTGCTCACATCTCCAAACGCACAGTTAGACAATCTGGAAGGAAACTGACAGCCCAAGTGCTACTGACATCGGTCAGCCACCATTTCTTGCGATGTCTTCAGTTAGACACAGAGGGGGTCACGAGGATTCTATTGTGAAAAGTGGACCTTACCTAAACTTTTCGTAATGTTCCCCATACCCTTCTTCAAAGTCACACGTTGTCCAGTTCGTGGTTTTCACTATTCTGAAAGAGGCACGGAGAACAACACTAGTCCAGGTAGACGGTGTTTCGGTATGCGTAGAACATAGCCAAACCACCGCATTCGATGTGCTGGATGCTTTCCGCGATTCATAAAACCGCTGCACAATCAAATACCCGCTTGCTAACTACCTCGTTACTAACCCGTTGACACCACCCAAAAGTAGCAACGCTTATGAGGCATCAGTGGTCAAGAACCTGAAGAGGTCTCACATCATCTGCCCGCAAAGACCACATCTCGGAGCCATACGACAACACAGCTCCTACTGTAGCCTGGTGAACGCGACAAGCAAAACCCAGTAAAACGCACTTCTAACACCACGAGTGACGCAACTTAGCAAACGCGATTCTGTCGTGGATATTCTTGTACTGACTTCATCAGACACATTTCCGTCAGAGCTAATACAATTACCGAGGCACGTAAGATTTTCCACAACCTCCAGTGATTCTCCTTGAATTGTAAGCAGCACGCTCAAGGACCGTATGTCCTGAAGCATGACTCTGTACCATGAAGGTGCGATCCACATGCCAAAACGTGGTATGGTGGTGGTCAGACTAATCAACAGAGATTGTGCGACGCCTTCGTCTTCACAGACGAGAATCATGTCGTCCGCTTACTTCAGATCGACAAGGTTCTCACCAGCAATGATTTGAAAACCGGAGTTTTGAATACCTTCAATCGTTCACCTCATTACTATATCGGTGACGAAGATGAACAAGAAAGGGGAATGCGAACAAACTTTCCGGACAACGCTTTTTGTAAGGAAGATTCTAGAAAGTTCACCATACGCTCACACGCCCGAAGGTACATAATTACAAGGACCGGATTATGCTCAATATCTTCTGGGGCGTCTGCTGTTGCGCAAGTGTATTAAAGAGCATTGACTGATCGACAGAATCTAACGCACTCTTGAACTGAAGGAACATGAATACTGTGAGTAGTCTGTACATATGGCATCGCTCTAACATGATATGGCGATGGAACCAGCGATATAGTATATTGCAGCCATTCGCTAAGAAAACTTCAATTCTCCTTCGACGGCAAAAAACGGATGACAGTGAACTGCTGAAATTCCTACCTTCATTGTTCCGTCACTGTTGAATATACGAATATCATAAGCTGGCCTCCAAGAACACTTCCCGACAACGTAAGAAATCAACATTTCAACCTGTCCCGTCTCCCTGGGTTCGACCAGCACGCTCAGTTCCCTGCAAGAGTAAAAGAAAAATACACACACGGACTTGATATGAGGTCAAAGGAAGGGAACTAGAATGCACCAGTTCTTCAGCCTGCCAGTTGCATTTGATCAAAAGATGGATCCTTGAAACAAATCCGTTTAGTTAGCAACTTAGTCACTCCAGTTTATACGGTTGATTGTTAGATGGCAAATACACCACCTGAACTTCGACAAATACTCTCACGTGACTTTGGTTCTGACAGGAGACTGAACTGAATCCAGGTCAAACTCTCGTTAGGATGATCCGCTTGACAGAGGACACCAGCATGAATAGACGATAACCGTCTAAGGACTCCATGAACGGCCGACCCGTAGAATGTTAGGAAAAGCAAGTTTAAGCAAACGAATTTATTTTTGAGGGAGACTGACCTGGAAACCAGCTAAATCGGTCATGAGACAAATGGGACCAATTCAGCACTTTGATAAAACTAGTAGGAATGTGAACCTCATGCGCCAGCTATCAGACTTCAGGTAATTTGGGTAAAACGGGTTAAACACTACATCTCATTCAAAATCTAAGCAGAATTTTATGAAAGAAACGCGGAAGGTCTGCTTAAAACTTCCACACACTTTTGAATTCGTCCTTTCGGTAGGATCATGCATCTTTCATATTCGCGTTCTTATCAGTCTGGTTTGAACAGTCCTCCTGTTATTCTGACGTAATTATTTTGGTGAGTCCACACCAAAAGGAGAAGCAGTGGACTCGGATTCCACTTTGATAAGAGCGCATCAGTAGTTCACACGCTTGGCCGTCCCGGGGTTTTAACTCCGGACATCTGATATGCTAGACGAGTACGGTACCACTACTCTACAAGTGCACGCTGAACACAAGGCGAATATGTACACGCTTGAGCAATGTGATGGCACAACGAATTCACCTAGTATAACTAACTTCAACGGGTGAGAACAAAAGAGGAGAATATGCCATCCCATCCAAAGCATGGCAGCCGGGACCTTCTGTTTCACTAGCGGTAGATAAGAAAAATTCCCGCAGGTTGACTAAAAACAGCCATCTGAGCAAAGGAATCTTCTCAAAGTAGGTTTAGCCGAGTGACACAAATATACGCGCCGAGTTAAAGCAGTCACGACAAGAGAAATAGTTTGAAACATAACGGTTGAATTAAAGCCAAGTAATGCTGTATGATTTTGAAATTGCGGTGAGGCTAACAGCTGTCACGGGTATACGATTCAGAGATCAAATGACCAACTGAATTTCGTTCACATACTTCGTCATAGGGCGAGCGCAGTGATCGGCTGAGAATGCGCAAAGCATCTGCCTGTGTTGGCCACAATAACAGAAGGGACTGTTGGTAGTGTGAGGAGATTTGGGATTTTTGTGGAGATTTCGTCCCGTAAGTGAAGCCAGTCTATGCTGAAAAGCCGAGAAGCACTGTGCTTCTCGGCTTTTCAGCATAGATTGGCTTCACTTAGAGGACGAAATCTCAACAAAAAAAGAAGGGACTGTACAAAACTTTCCTGTACACAGAAACCCGGTCTGTGACGGGTGGTAGCAACCGTGTTTCCTGTGCAAAGCATTCCGTATCTAAACGTAACACACCATTTATAAACAAATTAATTCAGTTGGATTCAGTTTAGTCTCCTGTCAAAACCAAATTAGTGTTAAAGCGAGCGTTTTTCCAATCTGTATCTAGCTATGCGTGCTAGCCTGGTACCTATATGAGGGATGACAGTGAGTGCTGTGTCGTTGTTCTCGACGCTGACGCCAAGCTGTTGATAGCCAGCATAACTTTTCCAATTAGCAATTATGGAACACGATCTGGCATCCGCTTTTCGTCGTTCCGCCGATGTAGCGTGTCCCGCGGGAGCAAGTAGAATGACATATACACAAAGTGGTGACTACACGAAGAAGCTGGTCTTTCAGTGTTTATCTTGACATTGTAGCTCAACCGCACAGAACTACGTAGACCCAAGATAACACACGTAAAAACGAATATCCTCATTCTATTTTTGGCAGAAAAAGTTTCAGCATCTAGTAGTGCTCCTAGGTCAGCTTATCATGGAGTCTCCGCTTCTTGAAACAGAATGTAGCCGAGCAATCAAGTTGCTACTTCTTCTACCCAATACGGGCACCATTTTAGTGCAACTTCACTGCCAAACTGAACTATCACAGACATGGATGAAAGCGTATTCCCAGAAATCGTTATACGCAACAATGAGCTGCATTCATAGGGAATGATAGTGGTTCTATTTCATTGTTTTGTTACACATTACAGATGAATCTGCCTTCGAGTGAAATTCACAGATGAAACGGCGATAACGCACCATAAGTTTCTAGGCTCGCCCTACCTGAATTCATACAGAAATGCACGAAAACTGACCACGCTTAATGCCAGTCCGGAATGTGAGGTACCCGTTTCAAAGCCCAACAGACCGCGCACTACTAACGAGTTATAATGAAAGTGAAATTCGAGTCCGGTAGCCCTCTTTTGATGTGGACTAAGCAGAGCACTCATTTCAGAACAGAAGATTTACTGTTTAGAAGCATGGATGCTATCCTAATCCTAGCATCAACAATCTGGTCAGAGTAGAAAGTGCAGCTAAACACAGCCTAGCTAAATAGAAATTCATGTGTATGCAGCGAAGTCACAAATTGTCAGGATGTATTCTCACCTGTCAATGCAAGTTAACGCTGAGGACTTTAATTTCTAGGATAAGTTCAAAAAACCCCTACTGATTATTCCATTAATTCTCTTTAAAATTGAAAATTAAAGTTGAACTGCGCCGGTCCACCTCACTCTTGATCAGTTACCAATGTCTAATCTCAGCTGGTGCCAGGTGCAGCGCACATTTTCAAAAAAGAACATGTCTGTGTAATGCATCCATATTCAACGACATTGTTGGAAACAAGTTTGCACACACTTGCAAGTGGTCTCAAATTTCAGAAAAGCTCCAAAAGCGACAGGACCCATATTATAAATTTCTACAAAGATTACCGTTAGAAATCTCGAATATTCACAACAGGTGCAAAGGGTACTTTAGGTTAAGACAACCAAATAAACAGAGGCGCAGCATATTTGTTGTAATCATAAAATTTTGGAAACAACCTTGAAGCGAGGTTCGTACATAGTCGGTGCGTGCTACTTTCGACAGCCTACACAAATGCAGCCAGTGTGCGAAACGGTAACAAAGACACCGCTTCTGTAGTGTAGTTGTATCATCAATATTTTTGGGAAAATAAAGCGTTACGAGCCATCACCCGGAAGAGTTTAGAAATAAAAGCAAAAAAACGGAGATTCAAGAGAAGTGCGAGCAGCGATGAGGTACACTTATACAGCTGCAAGGTGCGCCATGTAAGATCAGGGGCTGAAGTGATGCTCAAAGATGTGTGGGCTTCAAGCCCGGACCGCCGAGGATTTTGTCCTTCCCTCGAATAGGGACGATTCATGGGGATCGACCGATTCGCTGGTTTCATGGGGTAACAAACTGACCAACAGAAGTGTTTCTGGAATCTCACCGTTAGATAAGCAAGTCAAATCAGCAGTCAGAATAATGAAGGTGGTCAAAATGGGCAGATAGTAGCACTCAGGTAATTAAAACAAACGGGGAACCCTATAGGCAACCAACTGATGAAAAGTACTCCCACTTGATTAGACAAAGCGTGATCTAAAGCCCTGTTGTCTGCAGTGGATAACGTACGAATGGCTTTTGGCACCACAAAGCCGTTTCACGTAACTGTAGTGCAACTGCTTTCGCAGTGATCTAGCGACGCCTCTGGATCGATATCTGCAGACTACGGGACACTGTAAATGGCCTTAAACTGCCCTCTTCGGTTGAACATGTAACCAACTAGTCCCAACAATCGACCTTTTCGCCGTATTATTGGGTGTATTGTTATTCCGGCATGATAGATTCTCGCTTGCTAAGTTACCGCAGTGTGCAGTCAACATATTCTGCCCTACAAAAGCAAGAAAATGCACGCACACACAAACATACTTTGGGCACGGACTAGCATCTTGTCCTGGAAAATGTAATCGACCAATGGTTTTGTGACAAAACCATAGTCGTAATTTTGCTGCCGAAAGAGTTTTCTGCAAAAGATTTAAAGATTCGGTGATTGAAAGTGTCCGCCAACAAGTCACCGGATCCGAACATGTTGGTCCCCTTGCGATTAGCTATTCCTCGTTTTGGTCAGTTTATTTTTACAGTAAAGCTATTGTCTTCATCGGATTTTCGGAGGATTCTCTCATCATTTGAGCCCGGTTGAAATGCCGTCACTCTTTGTTCACTGTTTGCTCTGGTCCATCGATTACTGTATCACAGGGGGGCCTCCTGTGGGGTTTGAACGGCAATACACCGCCAATATTGAACACGACCCCAAATCACTAGTGAAGTGCATACCTTTTCGTCTAACTCGGATATGATTATGGTGTACATAAACGCATGTCTGAACTTCTGGGCATATTTCCGCTTGACAGTAACACAGAAATCCATTGGCTCCACTCGTTCCAATTGAACATAAGCTCGTCATTCACGATGTTCCCCTTTCTGGTTCACAAAGTTCACAAAAGCTGACTCACTGACTCTTAGTGGCGCGGCTGTTTCACGAAGACTTTCTATCGAGTTGAACTATACACACTGTCTTTCAAAGAATTACACGCTTATATTACCATGAGCTGATGAACCGCAGAATACTTTTTTTCAATAAAGTTGAACCAATAGTTACACAGCTGCACACTGATCAAGCTAGATAGGGTAAATGCTGTTCGTCGGAATAACTTGACGAACCACTTTAGAAGTAAATTTAATCGTTTTAATGTAATGGAGACAATTCCAATGATAGTACTCGTTTGTGGTTATAAGCAGAGAGAGTATGTATGCCCAGAGTATCCGATAAGGCTAAATTTATTGTCTGGTCCCCCATTACGCCGCACCAGAACCCTTCTGAACAATATTTCTGCTCCCATATTTCGGAAACCCAGCAGACCCTGTTTACGCTTAACGCCCGCTCGA